TTAGCTGGGGGATCAGCATGTTGTTGTGTTGTAGAGGGTGCGGAGGATGGGTCACTGTGTGCGTGCAATAGAAACGGAAAAAATTAAAGATCGGCAAGAATGTGCTGTCAGGGGAGAGTAGAAAAAATGGTTTAATAGAAAGTTCGGAAGGAATATGCTTGGTATACCATTACTTGAAATTGCTGTTAGAAATTAGTTGACGTTTGGTATGATTTAAAACGTCTTTCCAATGGTTGCTTAATTTGAAACCATCCTCTCGGTTGAAGTTATGTCTGTGTTTGTATATCTGAATGGCTTCGTGGACAAATCTTTGGTGATAATCTGTAGGTTTACAGAGACCCTTGGTATCGGAGAAGACAATCTCATGATCACCCATAGCGTTGTAACAATGATCAGCCACAGCAGATGAATTCGTTCTGCCGTGTTTCAGATCTGATTTGTGCTCGCGAATTCAGAGATATGTCGTTTCGTCTCCCCGATATAGCAATCACCGCAGGTACAACTCAATTTGTAAACTCCGGGGTACTGTAAGTCAGGGATGACATCCTTCACGGATGGGATCCCATCCGTGAGACGAAACGACATATCTCTGACCGAATTCGCGAGCACAAATCAGATCTGAAACACGGCAGAACGAATTCATCTGCTGTGGCTGATCATTGTTACAACGCTATGGGTGATCGTGAGATTGTCTTCTCCGATACCAAGGGTCTCTGTAAACCTACAGGTTATCACCAGAGATTTGTCCACGAAGCCATTCAGATATACAAACACAGACATAACTTCAACCGAGAGGATGGTTTCAAATTAAGCAACCATTGGAAAGACGTTTTAAATCATACCAAACGTCAACTAATTTCTAACAGCAATTTCAAGTAATGGTATACCAAGCATATTCCTTCCGAACTTTCTATTAAACCATTTTTTCTACTCTCCCCTGACAGCACATTCTTGCCGATCTTTATTTTTTTCCGTTTCTATTGCACACACACAGTGACCCATCCTCCGCACCCTCTACACAAAAACATGCTGATCCCCCCGCTAATTTTCTGACTGTAACACCCTGCTGCTTCAACACTTTAACACAGCTATTTTTGATATGTAAACTCCTTTGTCAAGGCGCCCTGCTCCTCCAACCGAGCTTAAAAAGACGCTGCGAATCTTAGCAGCGGTCATTGAAGTGCTGTCGTCCCGACAGTTCTGTTCCTTCACCTGAAGAAGGCAACTTGTGTTGTGGCCGAAACGTCGTGATTTTTGTTGTTTTACTTTTTTACCTACGTGACTTTACCGAATAGAACCACAGAGTATGGATCCTTGCAGTCACGAAAGCTTCAAATCTAGAACACGTAATCGTCACTTAAGAAAGCCATGACTGGCAGAGTTAATGAGTTCTAAGAAATGCGTTTTTCATTCTGAGGGCAGTTGTGATTAATGCTCCCGTCTCGTGAGTAGTTTCTGCACCGTATGGGTAGCCGTCTCTGTTTTTCCAGGGAAGGGAAATTTAGGGTAAAAAAAAAACCAAAATTAAAATAAAAACAATGAAATGTTGGAACAGTGGGAATTACTTTATTAATTATCGTAACGGCCTAAGCAGATCTTGCCATATGTTTTTTTTTTATAGTGGCACATCGAGGAGACGTTTGTGTAAATCGGCCACAAGTTCATACGGTAGGCATACATACCAATACTCTTTGGTTCTTCCGGTAAAGTCACGTGGGTGACTTTCGGGCGCAACACAAGCTCCCGTCATCAGGTGGGAAAGCTTGGTCTGCTGCTGAGGCAGACTGTTTTAAAAGGTTTGAAATGGGCGAAGCCCGTTTCGGGCGCAACACAAGCGTTGTTTTATACCTACGTGACTTTACCCAAAGAACCAAAGAGTATGCATTTCCTGCAGTCACGAAAGCTTCAAATCAAGATGTAGGCATATCCAATGTTGAGCGTTTCAAAATCAAGTTGCCTACCCACGTCGCGTTGATGGGTGCGCATCGAGCGTGAGCGGGCATGTGGTGACGCCGTCACTTCTCGATTTCGCCCAGACAACCACGCGGTCCAATAACGCTCCAAAAACGTCGTCTCCCGCACCCGGAGTACCGTTTCAGAGAAACAGTTTACACGATTCATCTTCCTTGGTTCTTTACGGTAAAGTCACGTAGAATGAGAATAAAATAATAAAATAAAACAATAAAATTCTCACGAAGTTTCGGCCACAACACAAGTAGCCGTCCTCAGGTGAAGAAACAGGTGAAGAAACAGGACAGTCCCTGTTTCTTCACCTGAGGACGGCTACTTGTGTTGTGGCCAAAACGTCGTGAGAATTTTATTTTATTATTGTATTATTTTATTCTCGTTCTACGTGACTTTACCGTAAAGAACCAAAGAAGATTAATCCTTGCAGTCACGAAAGCTTTAAATCGAAAGTTTACACGATCTTACGCCGCGTTTATATATCACTCCGTACGCACGCGGGAAGGAAGAGCCTCCTCCATTCGCACCACGCACATTCAGCGTCACTGTTGTCGGTAAATCGCTTGAAATTACCGGGATGTGCTTGAGATTACAACACTGTAAGCTCTGCCGAGTGAGCTAGTCCATGGAGCGTTCGCAAGGGGAAGAAAACTAATTAAGTGCCGCGAAAGGGCCTAATCTGGAAATCGCGTATACTTAGAAAGTGGAGTAAAGGTTGCAAAGCGAAAATGTAAAGAAACCTCGAGCCAGAGCTTACCAGCTGTCATTCACCCTCCCAGCGATTTGAGGTCTCCATTCAAGAATGTATTATTTTTGTCCAAAACATTTTACCCGCTCATTTATATTGTTTCTTGTTCAGTTTAATACGCATATATATATTTTAAATTTCACTCCATTAGCCTGGATGCAGCATTATCATGCAATTTGCACGAATCGTACCAAACGGACTCTCTCACACGCACCATGCAATGCGTGTATCGTGAGACTGACACACCGGGGATTGGGAGGGAGGCAGCTGCGGCAGAGCACAAACGCAACAATATCCATTGCTGCGTTGTGCCAATGCTCCCACAATGTAAGCTCGCGGTGCATTCACCAAACAGCACCGGCCATTAGTGTGGTGAGTAACTCCACCACTACCCACACACCCAGCAGGCATTGTTATGCACCCACCCAGAGCGCAGGAAGGGTTTTTTTTTTTAAATCGTCGGGTGCCGGGCTGAACTGCAGCCCTTTTGCGGACAGGTCAGCGGCATTCTGTGCGCGGTGACAGGGCTGGAGTGGGAGGAGGGGAAGAAGAGACGCGGCTTTTGTGCTTGCGGTGGAGGAGGTGGCTCGGGGTGGGAGTCATTCGTGGCGAGGCACCTCGGACGCGCTTACCAGTAAACGGGGTTGTGTGTGTGCGTCGCTTCGACTCGCTGACGAGTTTGAAGGTGGAAATGTGTCGTTCGGTTGCTTTGTGGATGCTCGCCGGCGTGCCGCGTTCAGCGCATTGCGTGCAAGGCGCGGTACGGAGCGCGAGTGTGTGCTCTTGTTGTTGTTGTTGGCACGCTTGTATCCAAAAGAACACCGCTACGTGTGTGAATCTTAATATATTTCCCCCCCCCCCCCCCCCCAAAATTCTTCGAAACCTTTCAATATTTTTTCTACAATATTTTTTTGTAAAAATAATTCTAAAAAAAATTAAGGCGTAAGATGCGATATATAGTTTTTTTTTCCAAAATTTTAAAGAACGACAACAGAAGGTCGAAACCACTGCACCGGTAACGAGCGTTTCTCAATTACGTCTATTGACAGAGCACTCGTGCAGAGAGGCACGAAATAACAATGCGGCCGATGCACCCCGCGCACGCTAGTTGTGAGTGTCAATGCCGGTTTGCCTAAGTGCCGCTGTCACTTACGTGACGCGTGTGATATGACATGGGGTCTTAAGAACACGCTTTGTTAACTGCACTTTCCACTGAAACCACGACCGCTCGCACTAACCCGCGGCACGTCGAGCCCGCCTCCGACGGGTACCTGGATTCTGGCCCGCTGCGTTTAATACAGACAGTATTCACTTTTACCCCATTTCCACTTGCACAAGTGAGCCATGCCAGCACGGGCCCAGCACGGTCCCAGGTTGTTTTCCACTGGAATTTTACCGAGCTGAGCTGGAACTGAACCGCGATACGCTGTCCTCACAAGACGTCGTCTGAATATGGCTCATCACGCACCAATCCGTGCTGGGGCGAGGCTATTGACGCGTGCGAATAGTGTGACGTCAAGAGGCATGCCTCGGCTCGTGCAAATGGAAATGCAACCGGTGCTTCCTGACCTGTGCAACGCTGGCTTGGCACGGCCCCAGCACGGCTCGAATGTGCAAGTGGAAAAGTGGTATTTGATAGACGTCGCTTGTAGCCACTGCTGCTCTTAAAATATCTTTACGGTGCCATGTTGGCTCTGCCTTTGGTGTTTATATGAGACTGCAAGTATATATTTTTAAACAAGCCGTCACAATTCGTCAGCTATGGTCATTTCACTGCTGGATGAGGTCTCCCCAAGCCACCGCCATCCTTTAGGTGGTCGTGTGATGTAATAATCCGCCTAGCTCCTGCACGTGACCTGATCTTATCGCGCCATCGTGTCGGGAGGACATCCTCTCGGACGCCCTCCATTCCTTTCAAAACAAGTGGTGTGGATATTTGCACGGAGGGGCTACTTTAGCGTCTCATTACCCATTATCTAAACGATTAACTTCAACGACGGTCAGTATGTTATCATGGACAGAGCCGTTGATGCCACGTAACTTTGCAGCCCCTGATCATGAATGATCGACTTCTCTGCACTCAACGCAAAGTGACGTGGCACTGAAGCTTGTGCTTCCACTGGGGTGCCGCGGTGGCGAGACATGATCTGCCTCGCCTGGTTTACAAGAGGTCGTGGGTTCGAGCCTGACTCTGATGCATGTTCTCCCTGTGGTCGCGTTGATTTTTCTTCGGGTCCTCTGGTTTTCCCCCCACATTTATAAACATGCGTTTTGAGTATTTGGCTGCTCTAGATTTCCACGTGATAAGTCACTTCGTTGAGCTGTCATTTGTGGCCATGTCGCTTCTGATAAAAAGAGCTCTATAGCCCAGTGGGCCCTATCTGATTACATAAAAAATAGTTTAGCTTGAGTAAATTATCCCGTCTCTTTCACGACCACGCGTCTCATCGGCACAGACATTGCAGCCTGCTCGGGCTTAAAGACGCAGGTATAAGGAGTGTGGAAGTCACGCTCGTTCGTGTTCACCCTCGGCTATCTGCTTCGTAATGGATTTAATATCTCCAGCATATCTCCACCTGGCGCGTTCACAGATAGTGTTAGAAAAGAAAAAAAAATCACACACCCACACATTTTAAATGAAAAAACCGTGGCGCTATAAAGAAAAAAATGGCCCCACGTGGATTAAATAAGGTCACGGGCGTTCGGAAAGTCTGGGGCTGTTCAAGCGGAGACTATACATCATTAGGCTGGTGCTTCGCCGAGTTGTGGATTACGCTTTAAGTTTTATGGGGCGCGTATAATGTCCTCCACAGCCGTTTATGTCGCACCTCTCTGGCAACCGCGTGCGCGCACGCACGGTCACCTTCACTCCTCTCTCCTTGCCCACTCAGGTGCGCTGTCCTCGCGTGTGGGTGCTCCTCGCGGGCAGCGATGGGCGCGGCCCGTTCATATTTGGATCGCGCAACCTGCAGCCGGCCAACTCTCTTCCCCGTGTGCGTGTGCGTTGATTTCGTGATGACTTGCGGCAATCACTTGTGAGCACTTGCACGCACGCACGCATTTCGGTGTTTGTCGAGTCGATCGCTGCGTCGCCTCCACCGGCCTGGTTCGCAGCGAGGGGGGTCCTGCAGGAGCTGCCGTTCTGGGCTGTCGGCCGTAGCGCAAGCGTCCTGACCCCCTCTACCTAGGGGATGTGGGGGGGGGGGGGGGGGGTGCCGTCCCGTGAAGAGAGAACATCTGCGCACCGTCACGCACCCGGTCCCCGCCTCCTCCCCCCCCACGTTTCGAACGGGAACGCTCTGCGGGAGTCGCTCGGCTCCTCGGGTTGTTCTCCCTTCCTGGCCCAGCGGCCAGCACACCGCGCGGACTTGTCCACGCGTCGCCTGAGCAGAGAGTGCCCACGCGTCCGGGTTTGCGCGCGAGGTCACCGGCTCGCGCAGCTGCGGCGGCTACGGCGGCGTTTACCGCACGAGAGGAGCCCCGCGGCTCGGCGAATCGACCTCCCCACCCAACCCGCCGCGCTCGCGTCCGCTAGGTGTACATCTCCTCCAATTTGAAAGCGTTCGCTTCCGCATCGCTGCTGGCCATCCTGCCGTGGTGCTCGCCGCCGTTGGGGCACGGCAGCTCGGTGACGGAGGCCGTGTAGGACGTGGACGCCATGAAGTATTGATCCCTGCGCTCGTGCCCCATGCGCAGCATGTACAGAATCCAGTACCTCTTCAGCGCCGCTTGCACCTGGCGGGAGGAGCAGGGGGGAGACGTGGGGCCGAGCCGTTACCAACTGTTCCTGCCGTCTTTGCCTGTTGCCGTACGCTACGGATGATACGTTCTCTTTTTTTTTTTAAAAGAGCGAAAGTCGGGGGTGCGTCTGACAATCCGGCAGCTGTGCGTGCCACCGTTCCCACATTCCTATGTGGTCGGCCTGGGACCAGATTTCTATGCGGTACCCACATTGACAGCGGGCACAAGCTTTGCGTGGTGCGTCTTAGTTTCCGGAAAGGGAGGTTGCCGCCGACTCGTTTTTTTTTTATTTAGCAAATCTCCCCACCGTGTTTGTGTTTCTTTCTCCTCTGCTTGTAATTAACGATTTGTAATTTTCAATGTAATACGCGGACGGGCAGCTGGGCCGCGTTATCTTGTGTGCAGAGTGGGCCTGCTGGCGTTCCATAACTTTGCGAGGAAATATGAATCATTCTTGGGAATATTTTGCTGTTGTTGCTGTACAAACGGTGGAGTCAACAGATGTGTTATTTTTGGTGCTCGCAGTCGCGGTGGCTTTTGTTTTCCAGCACGGCGAGCGGAAACTCTGCGGCAGCCCCGTGGATGGCCGGGGGCGGACGGTGTTAGGTAATAGGGGGGCAGCTGGGGGGGGGGGTTGCGGATTGTTTGGCCTCGGGGCTGCAGTGATCTCAGGCTTAACGCGACATCTCCTTGTTTGGTTGTAAAATGCAGACCGCCCTTCCCCAGCGCCCGCAGAGCGCATTACCGCACATTTTTTCTGTTTGTTAAATCTCCGGTTGTTATTTTTTTTGTACATGCCGCACGCTCCTAAATCAGGACGCATTGCCCCTGCGCTACACGTGCAGCATCTGAAGGCGCCGTGTAGGATATTCTGCGTCGGGTTCACGTAACGCGAGGGGTGTGGGCGCGACACGTGCGTGTGCGTGTGGGAGAGGGGGGGGAAGGCTGGTTTTTATTATCTGAGACAGTCTGTAGCGAAACCCTTTCAACGCGAGAGCAATTGGCAATGGAGGATGAGGCATCGAAGCTGTGTTTTTTGTTTATCTCCCACTCGAATGAAACAGGCAACTCAATTAATAACTGTAGTGAGATGCCGCGGAGGGCGGGGGGGGCAATACGGCAGTTGGGCGCACTGCGCTACAAATGCAGTGACATTAATTTGAGAGGGAAATATTTTTCAGTGAGCGTATCGACGATGTGCAAAATTATGAGAATGTTTGATGCGCCGTCTTGATGGACTGTGGGTAATAAACGACATTAGATAATCGTGCAAGATTACATTTCGCTCCCCAAAATTCAAATCACACTTCAATCAATTCGGAGGGGGGTGGGGGGGTGATGGCGCTATGAACCCGGCGGCCTGAATTCAATTCCCAGCCAAAGTCAACGCTAGTGGTGAGCGACATCTGAACCGATCCTGAGCCTCTTTATTCACAAACCCACGTGGTGAAGTATGGTCAAACAACTCTCCTGTCCGACACAGCGTCGGGGGATGGGGGGGGGGGGGCTTCATCCAGGAGTGGTTTGACATAGGGCTCTAAATTACTTTGAATTACCGCAACATCTATGCGGAAGATTCGGGCAGGAAGAAGGCATTGCCAGGAATATTTCACCCACATTTCACATATTTAGCGCAGCGCGTAGTCGAATGCGAGTTACAGTTTTGAATGTTCAGCCGTCTCTTTCAGTAACCGGGTTCACAATTCTCGGGAAGTTATTGTTGGAAGCGTGCCACGATGCGTGACCAACAAGGCGTTCGAGAAGGCCACTACTTACCTCGCCGTTGCAGAAGCAGAATATCGTTGCCACCAGAAATCCCTGCAACACAGCGGCGGCGGGCATTGTGTTCATTACTCGCGGCGATTGGAAGCGGAAACTCTACCGTGTCGGGGGAAAAGAATGAGGCTCGGACTCCATTATTCGGGGCGCTACTTCTGCAGGTGATGTCACATCCAGCGCCAACAGCCGCCGTAGGCGCGATAAGGCAAATCGGGGTTTCTCGCCGTGTCAGACGTGTGTACCGTTCACGTCAAAGGGCACGGCAGCTACGTTCAAACAACGTGGGTCGTCACCTTCCCGATCGCCTCCCCGACAGAATCGCCTTGAAAGGCATCCCGTCTTGTGACACCTCGTAAGTGAAGCAGCATTAAGGCCTGGGTTAGTGCTTGGATGGGCGATCACCGTGCCTTAAATCAGACTTTCGTAGGGCTGCGGCGTTGTATTAAATGTGTGGGGAAGATCATGAAAGAGAATACTGAAAAAATGGTCAAGACGTTTTCAAGTCAAGGTTACGTAGTTTTTTTTTTGTGTGGACAAATACCCACGGCAAATATACACAGGGAAGCATTTCAAGATTTAAACAGTGGATTGACAATGTGTGTATATCTGTTGAACTTCTTTCGCACCGTACGCAACCAACCGTGCTAATTGGAGGTGAGGGGGCGGGACAACAAACTAAACCATGGGGGAGCGGGGCTATTAACTAAACTTTTGACTGTGCGAACGGGCGCGCGTTTTTTGTTAATTGTGTTTGGAGAACGAGCGGCGAGCGATTTAAAGCTTTCATGACTGCAAGGATTCATCTTCTTTGGTTCTTTCGGTAAAGTCACGTAGAATGAAAATAAAATAACACAATAAAACTCTCACGACGTTTTCGGCCACAACGCAAGACGGCCGCTTGCGTTGTGGCCGAAACGTCGTGAGAATTTTATTGTGTTATTTTATTATTTTATTCTCATTCTACGTGACTTTACCGAAAGAACCAATAAAGAGCGGCGGGCGATTAACGAAGCGGGCGGCCGCCCGGGTACGTTTCGTGGCGAGGCGCCACCTGGTGGTGAATGAGCACGTGGTGGTGAATGAGCACGTGGTGGTGAATGAGCACCTGGTGGTGAATGAGCACGTGGTGGTGAATGAGCACCTGGTAGTGCATGAGCACCTGGTGGTGAATGAGCACGTGGTGGTGAATGAGCACGTGGTGGTGAATGAGCACCTGGTAGTGCATGAGCACCTGGTGGTGAATGAGCACGTGTTGATGAATGAGCACCTGGTAGTGCATGAGCACCTGGTGGTGAATGAGCACGTGGTGGTGAATGAGCACGTGGTGGTGAATGAGCACCTGGTAGTGCATGAGCACCTGGTGGTGAATGAGCACGTGTTGGTGAATGAGCACCTGGTAGTGCATGAGCACCTGGTGGTGAATGAGCACGTGGTGGTGAATGAGCACGTGGTGGTGAATGAGCACCTGGTAGTGCATGAGCACGTGCATGATGTAGTCGTAGATTTCTCCCACGAACCGCTCCGGCTTCCAGGGCACGAGCACGAACTGGATGCCGAGCAGCGGCACGAGGATGAGGGTGGCGCGCACCGCCTTCATGTACATGCTCGTCTCGGCGCGGTGCGTCACCTTCAGCTTGGTCACCAGCACGCGTACGATGTTCAGCAGGAAGAATAGGTTCACCTGGGTCATGTGACGGGGGGGGCGGGGGGGTAATCTGAGTAAGCGGCCACAGGGTTGGATCGTTCCTTAATTTCCGGAAAGTCTATCTCCTGGTTCTGTTCTCATCTCATGAAATCGCGTTTCCATACGACAGCTGTTTTTTTTATCCTAGAAGACCCTGTGCTGTCGTGTCCCCACGAGCTTCCATCCCCCGGTCTCCTGCTCCTCTCAATATTTCTCCTGCCATAATTTCTATGCCGGTGACAGTGGCTCTACCTCCCCATTGACTCCATGAACCCAACCAATATCTCTGTCCACTCTCGCATCCTGCCCTAACACGGTCTCGATCTTACATCGTGCTACCTTCCACCAGCTAAATGGGCCCAAAGCTGAAGCATTCCTCATTGGAAAAAAGTCCACTCTCGATACGCACTCCAGGTTGAGCGTGCACATCCTAAACTCTGACAACAGGCTGGAGAAGAGCATGCGAAGCCCTGAAGTTGTCATTGATTCTCTTTCCACATATCTCCATCCAGCAGGATTTCATGCCTACAACTCGGCAATAATAACTCCAATATCTGTTACCATCTTGATTTGAAGCTTTCGTGACTGCAGGAATCCATACTCTTTGGTTCTTTCGGTAAAGTCGCGTAGATAGAAAATTATTAATAGATCACGACGTTTCGATCGCAACACAAGCAATCGTCATCAGTTGAGACAATTACATCTGTCACTACCTTACCCCCAGCTATCGCTGCAGACATAACTCGGCTATCGCAACTCTCTGTGGCCTCCACAGATCCACCACTTCTGCCCCCTGACGAATTTAGAATGCCGTCACAAAACTCCCCTAGCCTGTGACGTAATGACACGAGATCACCCCTGCATTTAGATTCCTTCACTGGCTCCCAATTCAGTCGAGAATCAGCGTCTTCCATGGGATCATTTCTGCCGACTTGTCTCATCTTGCTCTACTCACCTCCATGTGCTCTGCCCTCCAGTAACCAAGGCCTTCACTGAAGGCCCTCTGTTAACCTCTACTCAATGGGAGGTCGCTCCCTCTCAGCTGCTGTCCCTGGGGTCTGGAACTCCCGCCTCATGGCCATCTGCGCTTCCCTCCACTCTTCAAGGCTGGGCTCAACAATTCTACGTTCTTCCTATGATCGTTTCCTATCCACGAAGCTTTGTGGTGGTTCTCCATGATGTACATGTCCTGCTTATGCACGATGTCTCAGCGCTGCGTTTAGACGCCGTATGAACATTGCATTGCAAAAGCGAGGATGGTGGGGGAGCCGATCGAGAGGGGCCGTTGTTCGGTGGGAGAAAGAGTCCAAATTCAGTGAATTCCTCCCCTCTGGACTGTCGAATTCCTTGCGCTGCCTGTTGACTCCGAGCCCCTGCGAGCATAAGTCACAGGCGCGCAAATGTACTGAGTTCACATGTTTTGATTGTTTTCAACAACATGAGCCACTGTCCTTGAGCAGCCTTCAGCCATTACACTTTTTTTTTTCGAAAGCAGAGTTAGAGACATTGCTTTCGGGATCGACAGATCATTGGAGTCCTTGTGTAAAGATTTAACAATGGACAAATATTGAACTGGGTGTGGACACACTAAGAGGACACGTATTATTCTCATTTTGAGGCACGGGGATAGCAGCGCACAGAACGCGTGTCTGTTCATAAGACGCGTGAAGGCAGAGGCCACGTTGCTGATGCTGTGGAGAACGCCTCCAGCCGACGCTGAGTAATGACGCCTGTGAGCGTGGAGGTAGGGTCACCAGCTCCGCGATACAAAAACAACCAGGACGTATCATGGGAAAAATACGAAGAATATCTCACAAAAGCAGCATAGAGGAGACCTTGCGTGCATTTTCTTAAGTTGCGCACCATCACACATTATTACCAGAAACGTGTTTGTAATCCAAAGCACTCGTATATCAGTTGTGATCACGTGACGCTCGGCAGACAAAGCGTATACGTACTACTACTCGTATTGCAAGACCCGCGCTCGTTTATCAAATTAATATTTATTTTTAAAAAAATTTGCTCGTCTTGCAAAACACTCGCTAGACCAAGTTACTCGCAATCCAAGGTTTTACTGTATTATTGTGTAATTTTGACACAACAGGCAAGAAAAACGTTTTTTTTTTCTGTCCCGGGGAAACATGACACATTTCACAGGACAGCTCCCTGGGGGGGAAAAAAAGGAAGAGGACAATCCTGGGAAAACCAGGATGTTTGGCAACCCGATGCACATCACGTGGTGGCCTACAACTTCGTGTGGGCCGCCTCACGGCACGGTTGTCCTCACCAGCAGTGCGGCCACGACGGGCCCATGGATGATGTAGAGGAGGTGAGTGGCAGAGCTGATCCAGCAGCTGCAACGAGGATGTAAAAAGGACATTTTCTTAGCACGTTTTTTGTTTGTTGTTGCAGGACAAACTTGGTAACGCGATTCCGCGACGCGCGTTCTCGGCGGGCGATGTATTCCGGTGCGGTTTGGGGCGTGAGAGGCTTTTTTTTTTAACGGAGCGGGCATCAGGCCGTGGGAGTTTTAACAATGCAACAGTTGTGGCATGGCTGCTGCGCTGTGATGATTTTGGACAAATGTGGGCCCCCCGCGTAATGCGGCACGCACTTGTCGTCGTAGTAGATGGTGCGTGCGACGGCGTGCATCAGAGCGGGGACGATGGGGAAACCTGTGGGAGGACAAAGACAACGACAGAGATCTCCGTGTAGCCCACACAGGCGGCGGGGGCAAGTGCTAATAGCGAGCACTGATTAAGAGAGCGCGTGATCAAACGTGCCAATCCCTGCTTGGAATTTTAATTATTATTTGATCAACGATCTTGGGTTTCAATAATTTGGCATTCGTGATGACAAGGTCGTGCCATTTTTTACTTATTTCTCTTGTCGGCAAATAAACCAATGACTTTAGGAAACCATTAAAATAAATTACGCATCCTACGCAGGCAAATGCTATACATACATATGTATTGCCCTGCCTGCCATGACCCAAGATAATTGAGAGATTACTGTATGACATTTTGAAATGAAAAAGTGAAGCTTTTTTCTTCCTGGGTTTGATATAACAGTGGACGATGGTGTCACATAAAGAACACTGTTGAGGACAGCATCTCCTAACCACCCTCAAGGGCCAGGGTGGTTAGGAGATGTTAACTACCTCGCCCGGTATACAGGAGGTCGTAGGTTTGATCTCGACCCTGACGTCTGTATATTTGGAGTTCGCACGTTCTCCCCGTGGTTGCGTGGATTATTCTCTGGGTCTTCCGGTTTTTCCCTCCACATTTAGAAACTTGCGTTTGGAGGATTTGGTTGCTGTAAATTTCCACGTCATTTGTGATGGCCAGGTCGCTTCTGAAAAAGAGCTGTATAGCTATGTGGGCCTTACTTGGTGAAATAAATAAAATAGTTAAATCGTTTAGTTTATAGCCTATTTGACTCATTCCCAGGAAGCTCTTTGCTTCTTTGATTCCTGGGTACGAAATTCAGCTGGAATCTCGTTAAATACTCTTGAGAAAGGATAGGAGTAGGCCACCTTGGTAATCTCTCCCTATTCATGGCCCGGGAACCCTATAGTACGTGGTGCAGTGGCGTAGTGACTACATTGTCAACTCTCGGGGGGTGTGGCAATCGGTCAGGTGGGGCCTCATTATTTGATTTGTGTCGCACAGGCCGCACCTAGGCTATTCTATATCGCGGCTCCTCTTGCCTAATCACATCATCACGCTCACGGTCTCAAACATTTAACGCTGTCGGGGCGCTCCGTCTTCACAAAATGCAGCCACTACAGCTCCCGTGGTGGTTGTCAAGGCGGCCCCAACTCGTGGCCTTGGCCACCAGGGGCGGCCAAGGCACCCCCGTGGCCCCCCACGTGAGTCACGCCACTGGCGTGTTGTGTCGAGACGAAAGCGATTGAGGCGAATCGACGCGAGCTGACTCACCCCAGCCGAGCAGGTAGTACCAGAACAGGTGCTGCTTCTCGGCAAAGACGGCCACCACGATGAGCGTGTGCAGGTAAATGCCCTCGCACAGCATCCAGAAGTAGTTGCAGCCCATCATGTATTGGTGGAAGAACTGCAGCACTTTGCACCAGACCTGAAGAGCAGGGGAGGGTGGCGACAGGGGATGAGGAGGATCGTGGAGGGTGCGGGGGGAGCGTGAGAGGAGCTACCACGGAATTTGGCGCAGTGCGCGCACGCAAGCCCGTGGATATGAAACACATTTCCTATCAAAATAAACTCTCTTTGACCTCTCGTCGAATGCAACAAGTAATTACTGCGAAGTTGTCCCGTGCTCCTAAGTAAACCCGGCAGGCCTCTGTATCAATACAAAGGAGCCAGCAAGGGCACTTGTGGAAATCTGAGAAGTCCCCCACAGCGAAAAGTGCGGGGTCGCGAGAGGGATTTCTGCCAGCAGGCCGCGACGCACGACTATTCGTATGGCATCTACCGGCTTGCTGGCCACCAGCTCCTGATTGTTGGCCACTGCCGTGAGCTGAATGATGGTGATGATGGAGTTGAGGATGTAGGACATGAAGAGGTTCTTGTGAAGCGTGATCCTCTGGCAGCTGAGACTTCTGTGGACAGAAAACAGGAAGTGCGAGACAAGCCCCCCACATAACATCAGAGGGGCTGGGGCGGCTGAATCCACCCGCCTTTGAAGGATCGGTCCCTCTTCTTACATGCTAACATTACAAATAAATATATCGGTGCAATAATTACCACCGGCGATGGATGTATTTTAAGTTCACACCGATTTTAATTGTTCGCTACCTGCCCGCAAAAAAATCCTTGCTCTTTTCAAGCGTCGCGTGTGACGGTGGACAAAATGTCCGCAGAGAGTCGGGAGGCAACTTGGACCCAATGCACGGATGGAACCAGCGACAAAGCGTTTCCTTGAGCACACAGGGGGCCGAGAGCCCAGCGGTGACGAGACGCAAGCAGATCGCGCGTCGTTGACTCGTTCCTTTTGGCGTTTGACGTGCGTTTGAAGTTTCATTAACATGGACTGCTTCCAGCCACACATTGGAAAGAGCTCGTGCCACAAGGGTTGTGCGAGAGGGCGCGCCGGGTGCCCAAGCTGGCCCGCCCCGCACCCTCGCACGCAGTAATGTGTGCGAGGGGAAACTCGTTCAGGAAACATGCCGCACAACTGAACGCTCAAGTGGAAGTCTCGCCGGTATTCTTATTCACCGTTTACAGCCATGTGGGGAGTGTTTGTGCGGCGCTTGGCGCAACTGGCGCTACGAATCCAGCCACAGAATTTAAATTCTTGGCCATGGCTAACATCCGTATATTGGACCTTAGTTATACACGCTGGTCAGTAAGAAAGATATGCGCAGGCAGCATGGAAGTGCAATATAACAATGGCTGTTGCTGCACTGCCCTCGACTGTCTACCACGTGGGCACCTAGGCCAAATAATAACCAGTCTTGCGCAGATCGTCATCCATCCAAGCACTATCCAGGCTCAACCACTGCCTTAGCTTCTGAGATCTGACGAGACCGGGAGCACTGAGTGATTTGGTCACAGGGCTAGGGGATTGAGTGCGCAAGCGATTTATATAAGTGTAGTGGTCGACTTGACGCGGACAACTTTCTTGTTTTCTCCAACACCACTTTTATTACAACTCTTCACATTACGTCTGCGACTCCGTCATTCCGCTTAGCCGCAGCTCGTTCCCCCTGCGCTCCGCCCGTCTCGCTCACTCCGCTTCCTCCCCTATCCCTCACTGTCCCTCTGCGTCGTCCCTGTCTCTCTTCGTCGCTCGCTGTCTGTCTCCGCTCGTCTCTGCTCCACTGCTAGCCTGTTCTGTCTCCTATGTCTTCGCTCCGGTTCTCCCCGACCTGCTTCGTTCCAGTCCCAGCGACAACAACTCAACTCGTTCTTCCCGTCTCCCGAATATATCCCCGTTCTCATTACCCACCAATTAATTAGGCCGCGTGCCACGGACGCCCCGCGTCCCCTCGCACCTGTTACTCGCCCCCCTCCATTCCCAGACATTCCGGCGCCACTCCGCCCTTGACAACAACCCCGGCCAATCACAGCCGTACATCGCTCTCCAGCTTCATTGGCCCGTCGGTACCGCACAGTTAACCCGCCGCCACACCTGGTCGGCCCCACGTTAACCCCACTGTCCATAAACTCGCGCGTCTTTACCATTCCCCGCTGTTTGCGCGTGTTCATCCACTACATAAGGAAACTCTGAACGCGAAACCAACCAAAAACCACACTCGCACCTGATAGCCTCAGTCATGACATCACCCTTCACTCTACTTTAACACCAAAACGGAAGGATAAAGTGATGTAAAATTCTGGCTAATTGCCTGATGAAGCTAGGTGGTAATCACCAGCGAGACGCCGCAGAGTACTCGAATTGTAAATGTTTTGGGTTCATCATGGGACTTTTTTGGCAGTGCCAAAGTTTGAAAAATGTATAATGGGCTGCACCCTTTCCGGTAATAAAACAGCAGGTGTTAAGATGTTCAAGCAGCAAATAGATGCCTGTTGTAAGGAATCAAGTCTGCATTAACCACACGTAATTGTGGTTGAACATGCAAACGAACATAATTTAAGGCGTTGTCTTTGACACCGATTCGCCTGCACAAGAGACAGCCTTGTTCTTTATGGCTGGGCCTCACCAGTGGCAGCCCAGATAACTCTCCGACACACCGGTGTGCCGAAGAAGTAACCAACTTGCACGTCTTGTTTACGTGACATACCCTTACTAATTGGCTGTGGCGGGCGTAACGGCACATTTATATTCAAGAGATCGAACCCAACGAATACTTTACGGGGGGAGGGGAAACCCCTCACATTCGCTTGTGCGCAGCGCATGCTCACGCACCAATGATGTAATATACCAGAAACGCACAAAAAAATGCATTGTGTTTAAAGGCGCCGGCGGTAGTGACCATAAATGGGATTATTGCGCGGGCGAGTCGGGGTCGTGCAGCACAAACAATCAATGAATCAGTTTAATTCAAACTCCCGTTCTTTTTTTTTGGGGGGGGGGTTCTCTAATCGTGAGAGTTTAGCAAGCCACAACGCTACAGATCCGACGGAACGGTTCGGATTTTGTGAACATTTGTACAACACGAGCTGCACAGTTTGCTGGACAGAAACACTGAAGCGCTTGTTTTTTGCCTGTCAAAGAGCTTTATAGCTCATCGGATTCCTCCACTATGAATAAAGATTATGATGACCTGGGGTGGGAGGGGTGAGGGGGGGGACGCTCTCCTCCTGTGCTTTACAAGACGGCGAAAGTACCCGAGACTTGAGACCCGCATGCTGTGTGTGAGTTTGTTTCTGTGCTCAACTCTCGTAAAGGAACAAAAAAACCCGAAGATCCCCCGAGTAGCCTTAACAGACTGTAGGGGCAAGAGCTCTTAGCGAGCAGCGCCTACGAAGGCAAGGACGGCACGCCTTTGTCTCCCGAGTGGTCGATGTTAACACACCGCACGAGGTACACATTTGAGGCTGAGTCGACCCAGGGGAGGCCCAGGCCCGGTTCAGATAATCGTCGCTGGCGATGGCCGTGAGCGGGAATCGGAAACCCGGGTCGCCGGGTTCGTAACGCTAACCGCTGCGCCACCGCTCCCCGCTCGTATATTGACGGCCACCCCACGCCGCACACTTGTGTATTGTTGGGGGGCCTTTCAATGAAGAACATTGACCTAAGGGCACTTGGGGCTTCTTGAACAGCGTAGGGGGCGAGGGGGTGGGGGGGAGCAACTCCGTCCAGCCCGCAGCAACCACTAACCCGTCCTGCTGTGTCTCTTAAGCGTTGCGGCGAGCACGGGAGACTCACTTGAAGTAGAAGAATATGGTGAGGGAGACGAGGAGCACGAGGATGGAGACTCCGTGGCCGGTCACCGCCAGGTAGAACAGGTTCACCGCCATCTGCCGCGCACACCAAGCGAGCGATGCTCAACATTCTGCTGGCACAGTCTACAAGTAGCCTGGGTGCCGGAATAGGTGGAGGAAGGTGCCGAGGATTTAAACCCACCGCGCGCCGCAGGAGATTCTGACAATAAGTGGCGTAAGCTCTCGGGTGTGCAGGCGGTGCAGCTGCACCGGAGAGGGGAGGCCCTAGTCTGGCTTAGGAGGGGGCCTTGACCACCAGGCTACAGAGCCTGATAGAAGCACGGGAAGTAAAGGCTTGTGCGTTGCTAATGAGCATCTTCCAGGTAACTTTTATTGAATCGCTCGGTGAAACAAGAAGGTATATGCTGATTTCCCCTCTGATGATCTGTAGACTTGGTGAATTTTTTTCCATTTCATCGATGTGTAAAATGATCTTATCCCCTCTTGAAAAACAAATCTAAAATCTTTACGCCTGCATAAATCATCGCCATATTGCTCCAAACACGCTTACGCTGATAACAATATATACACTGTGCATCTTTGAGCGAAAATATTTATGAAAACCCCCCCCCCCCACCACTATGAAAGTGGACTTCTTGATAAGTCTATCGATGCGTGTGTTACATCACAACTTTGTCACACGCGGTAGTTGGATTATCTGAACCCTGTTGTTTTCATTACTTGCACCAAGGGAAGGAAGAATACAGAAGGAGAGGCCGACCCAAGATCATTTGGATGCCGAACGAATATACAAAATATAAGGTCTCACTAATTACACAAAAGTGCTTGCCACGAATGAACCACAACACCATGCTGATCTCGTCAAGGACCATCAACCATCACGCCAACTCCACACAGCAGCAGCAGCGGCTGTTGGCTCGCCACCAGCCAAAGGCGGTCACCACGTCGCGCGCTTTCAAATGCGCTTCTGTGGCCGTCTGGAACGTTCTTTCCTTCCGATATCAGGAAGCCATCGGAGCTGTGCACTTGTAAATCTAGTTTGAAAAAACTAATTTCTTTACAACTGCTTCTTGTGTGTTTAGTTTATTGTCCTTCCCCCGCACCTTAGATTAACGCGGTTGGCTACGTGCGGTTGCGAAAGAAGTTCAACATGTTGTACATGCAAAAGCGATAACAGGGACTGATGAGTCGGCACAGCGTCTGACAAGGACTACGAAGGAAAGGGAAACGCGGAGAGAGTTGACGGCCGAAAGCATTGGTGGCCCAACGACCGTCACAGTAAAGGGAGAGATGATGATGATGATGACGAGCAGGGCTCATGCTGACCACGTAGAGGTACTGCTGCTACAGTCACACTTGTTGGAGTGCAACGGCCCAATTTTACCACTGGAGATGCAGGTCAATATAGTGGATGGAGGACGCCCTCCTGATAAAGAAATTTCGTGCCCTTTACTGGGAGTCGAACTTTGGTGCCTGCACCTTGTGGGGGGTTCAGTGCGGTGCACCCTGTTACCACAGTGAACCCTTGTGCGAGTGTGTGACGCAGCTGTAATTGTTGCAGCGTGACTTTGGAATTCATCCCAGGCCCCTCTCCCTAGCCATCGAGCTGTTTGCACCTTCACCAGCTGCTTCCCTGAGGCTTTGCCTCGAGAATCGATACCCAAAAAAGGAGTGAGGTCTGGCTTGCAAATCGTTTTCCTGACGCGCCCTGCGGTTCGGTTATCCGAACGGGATTCGGTGCACCACCGCATCATCCCACAGTCATCACAAAACGCGCCGCCTGCGTTTAATATTCTGCGGCAGTTACACGGGCAGCAGCGCGGTAAATACGGCGTAAATCAAAGTAAATCATAACTTACCGTCAAGGCTTGTGCGTTGCTAATGAGCCCTTGCTAAGCATCTTTCAGATAACGTGTATGTATTTGCTCGGTGAAACAAGAACGAATTTGCTCATTTCCACCCCACCCCCGCCGCCCCCCCCCCCCCCGATGATCCGTGATTTTTTTTTGCATTTCAAGGACGTGAAAAACGATTTGATCCCCCGTGAAAAACAAAACTAATAACATACCCCTATACGTTTCTGACAAGTCTACCAATGCGTGTGCGACATCGCACATTTGTGACGCGCGAGACGAGTGGCGGCAAGGGCGGCCGTCGGCCTCCGCTATTGTTTTGTTTTCCAGGATGAACGTTTTCCCTTGGCTGCGCTGGCAAACCTCGGATCGCGTTACACGGCAGCCCGAGCCATTTATAACCGGCCACGAGGAGCCTCGGAGCACAATTAATCTGCTAATTATCTGCGAGGGTTGATGTGTACGCGGTTCAGTGCCCGTGGCAATATCCCTCGTTGCGCACGACACAAGCTCGAGAATGCATTTGGACACAACAAAAAATCTCCACTTCCAAGTTTTTGTTGCTTGCTGTTTTTTTTTGTTTAATTTCGGTAGCATGACAGCTGTTGTTTTACCCCAGGAAAAAAAAAGGTCACCCGGGCTGGGTCGAGTAGACAGAGTAAAATTAATGGTTTTCGGTAAAGTCACGTAGATAGAAAATAAAAAAATAAAATGAAGAATACATTTAAATAAAAAATAAAAGCAAAAAAAATGTAAATTAATTTTCTTCTATTTTTATTTTCCATCTACGTGACTTTGCCGAAAGAACCAAGAATATGAATTCCTGCAGTCACGAAAGTTCTAAGTCAAAATTTAATGGCTTCTCCTTCGGGTGATGCGGTTAAACCTACTGCGTGGCCCGTGGCGCTAATGAAGCCGGGGGTCTGTGCGATGAGACCCCCATCCCCACACCCCAGCTGACACAAACTGCCCGTGCCTAACCCTGACCCACCGGCCCCGTGTGGAGCTTCCTGCTGTGGCCCCCGTAAGGAATGGCGCCGCCTCGGCGTCGTCATTGCGAGCTTTGACTGCGCGGTGGGGCAAATTCGATGGCGCAGTTTAACGCTACCGTCTCAATCCGGCGAATTATTCTTTTTTCGAAATAGGCTGGTGATGAAAATTACAATGAAAAGCAGAAAAAAAAGTAAGAACGATCACTTGCACGCGTTGATTATTTCAATCTTTTTCAATGTCTGGCCAAAGCACGTAGTCACATTTGCACATTGTCATTTGTAGCGCCGGCTTGTGTCTCCAAATCCAGCAAAGCCATCTGATAGATTTCGCCACTTTTCAAGTCTCTAATAGAAACACGACTTCACACTAAACCTTTGTTGACACTGGACCATCTTTACAGGAGTTATGGTGCACCGCCCTCCCGCTCCCACCCCCCCGTTACTAAAAGATGGACAGTGTGAATAGTAAACATATGAAAGCCAGTGTGCCCCAATGCTTGAGGGCTCGTGAGCAGAGCGAGTGACAATCGTGTGACATTTCCACATCCGAGGAAAATTCTGGCATCAACCAAAATGACCCCGGAAAGAACCACACTCGGAAATACTTGGAAACCCTCATTGATCTCTACTTGGACGTCGATGTACATATTTCCTGAATTGTTAAATTCAACAAAGAGATGCTGAATAATCCCTCTCCTCCGATGCAGCAAGTGTGATAAACCATCAAGTGTGCCATGCTTTTAGAAATGTTTCCCCATGTGTTTGCAGCGAACGATTGAAATCACACTTGTGCAAGGGGCGCCTTTCTCAGGTTATCTAGGACCTCCTACCTAAAAATTAATTCTTAACATGTGTTGGGAGTTCAGCCTCATCGAACAAATCAGTGGCACCATCGTAAATTTAGAGCTCCCAAATACACAATTTTTTTTCAGCATAAATTCCACCTCTCGCAGACCGCTCCATTGGCAGTCGTGAGAGAATTATGAGCTTGGGCAAACTCGGCTTGCGCGCGACAAGCCGTGCTGTTACCTTGAGCTTGTCAGCGGTGAATGCATTGCACAGCGTGTAGTTGGACCAAGTCCTGTTGCTGTCGGGGTGGCGGAACCATTGTCCGTCCGTGTTGCAAATCTTTGTGACTTTCTCTGCAAAGAAGAAAAAAAAAATCAAGTCCGGTGTTAATCAGGGCCCCCCCCTGGATCTGTATGCGTGCGATCGCGCGCCCGTTGGGACGTACCGAGCGTTCTGCGGCGCGACCTTTACGCGCGTGGGCAGAAGGCTCGAAAGCCGGTCTATATTGTGTTGATTCTTCGTGAAAATACGTTTGCGCATGTGGCTCGCATTAATTATATTCGCCGGGCCAGGGCGATGATAAACGTCTGTGAATTAAACGGTTTGGTTATCGGCAATGGGGGGGGGGGGGGGGGGGTCTACAGAGCAGTGATGCAGGCGCTATCAACCCGAGTGCGATTCCTGGCCACGGCTGACATCAGTGGCACATCCTCCACCCCACCCCCTCGCTTGACAAGCCCTCACTGACCGGTTTGGTGAAGTATGATGACAGATTTCCCCATTGACCGACACGGCATGGGGAGTCAATTGTCCAGAAGTATATTTGAACAAAGGGCTGTGAATTATATAAATTAGAATAAAGGAGTGATGTTCTTTATCTTCCGTACCCTACATACTCTGGCAGTCTCACATCAGCAAGGTCCCGTGTGTGTGTGTGTGTGTGATCAAGTAGGCCATCTGTGTCTTATTTAATGGAGGAACGACACTCAACACAGAGAGTGCCTTACTGTGCAGAAATGTGGTGAAATATGACTATCTAAATATTCAAAATACCCACTCGTAGGACATTTTCAGCATTCGACAGGAGCAGGAGGTCGTGTATCGAGAACGCTGCCACAGGCGCAAAGGAAGCAATTCCCTGCCTTATTAACGATCATTAAAATAGTTTCGTTTATTTATTTTGGTATAGCCCTGTGAGCCATTCGGCTCTTGAATCGGGTGCAACCACAAAAAAAAACACGAACAAAAAAAACATCTTAAAGTGACTATGTGACTGTGCAAACAGAAAATCCAGGAAAAAGGCAGCAAAATATTCCTGAAAAAAGCACCGTACACCAACGCTGTGTGCAAAAAATCCCAGTGGGATGCAAGTCACACAACAACAACCACAAGAAAACTTAGATTAAGGCCATCAGTCTAACTCCGTACTACAACAAAACAAACATGTCCAAACCGAAAAACGATTTTGAAATCACCAAAAAATACCATAATTGCAATGTAACAGTGATCACAGGGACTGTGACCGAATTTTTACAATAAACTACATAAATAACATGTAACACCAAATCCTAGAGCCATAGCTGGCTGCATGAGTTACTCCACAACAACAGAAGCATCAGTTGGAGTATCAAATTTTTCAATGCACCTTTAAGATCAGCACGCTAAATCAATATATAGATACTACTTTGCAGCATCATCCGGAGCGAAACAAATTATTTTATTTTACGCCAATGATTAGCAGTGGCAGCTAGGGGTGTACAACTCCTCTAGAGCAGTTTTGAGAGAAGATCTCATTGGTAGCGATTCAAGTTGCAGTTTATTGGCAATAGCATTCCAGACCCTGGGGGCATCAATAGCAAAGGCCCTTCCTCCAGTTTTTGTACGGCAATAGGGAATGTGAAGCTGGTAAATGAGCGAAGACCTGAGGTCAAATTTGTTCTTTGAAACAGAGAGGAGATCCTGCAGGTAGTCTGCGGATTTTTTTGTAAGTACATCGTGAATAAATAAGATCTGGTGCACAAGCCATCGAACATTAAGAGATGGTAAGTTTGACCCAATCTAGAGATCACAGTGGTGAGTCCTATATGGGCAGTGATAGATGGAATCAAGCATCTTCAGTACAGTACTTGGGGTTGATTTATACACGATGTTACAGTAGTCAAGTAGAGGCAGTATGGTAGCTTTTATCAATTCCAAACGGAACATTGGGGGGAAGCAGTGCTTGTGTCGATACAGAAAACCAATTTTTGTATTTTTACCAATATAATCAATGTGATCTCAAAATTCAGTTTTTAATCCAGGATGACCCCAAGATACTTATAGATCTTGACTTGCTCTATTTGATAATTATTTAAGGAATGTAATTGGGGAAAAATAACTTCCTGCTTTAGTCCTGGTGAGAAGCATAGCACCTTGGTTTTGGAGGTATTCAGGACTAGTTTAAGAGCAACTAGCTGATGTTGTAGTTTGTTGAAATCACCCTGTAGCTTAGCAATCACGTCATCCGGAGAGCGGCCAGCAGTAATCAGTATCGTGTCATCTGCAAAAAGATTTACCCTGGAATGATCCAGGTCAGTGCCCAAGTCATTGACATTAAGAGAGAACAAAAGGGGGCCGAGGATGGAACCCTATGGAACCCCTTTTGTTATCTTAATACTGTTTGACCTCCAACCATCTGTGAATACAGTTTGGGTGCGAGAAAATAGGTAATTTTGTAACCATTTTACTGCGTTTTCGGAAAAAAACTCAGTTTACTAAGCAGGGTGTTGTGGTCTACTGTATCAAAAGCTTTGGACAGGTCTAGAAAAAGACAGGCACAGTACTGCTTATTATCAAGGCTACTGCAAATGTGATTCAGAGAGTCTAATGCAGCAGATGAGGTGCTGTATTTTTTTCGGAACCCAGATTGTTTTAGATGTAGTAGATTGTTGGTGGACAGGAAACTGCTAATTTGGTAGGTCAATAATTTTTCAAATATTTTCATCAACGGGGACAAAATTGAGATAGGTCGGTAGTTTTTTGGATCATCTTTAGAGCCCTCTTTGTGAAGTGGACAGACATAGGAATGTTTCCATTCTAGAGGAACTGATGCTTCTTTGATGGACAGGTTGAAAATATGGGCTATAGGTTTGTATTTTGGTGACCTACAGTTAGTAGAGCAAAGACGGGAATACTATCTGCTCTGGTACAGGAGGACCCTTTGAGATAGGACAGTTGTTTCAGAACATTACTTTAGTAGATTGGCTGGAAACTAAATTCGTTTAATGTTTGGACAGGGGTGTAGGAATTAGCATGAGCAGGGGTGACTCCCAATACATTATCAAAAAGATTACCAGCTTCAGAAAAAATGAAGGATAGAATTGTCAACTATTGTTTTTGGGATCTGAAAAATATTCCCCATTTCCGTTAAGCTCAACGGGCAGATTGTCTGTTTTGGATGCCTTTTCGATACATTTGATTGTTTTCCAGAAAATCCTGGCATTTCCATGTGATTCCAGGAGAGTGGAGGAAAAGTAGGCATTTTTTGCATGCCGTATTTTTTTGACGCATCTATTCCTTAAAATCCTGTATTCTAGCCAGTCATTGACCAAATTACTTTTCTGAGCACATGCCCAAGCCTTGTCCCTAGTTTTCATGAGCTTTGTAATCAAAGGATCAAACCATGGTGGGCGGTTGCCTTTAGTTTTAAATCTAACCAACGGAGCATGTTTGTTAAGAATTTGGAGAAACGTGTACCTGAAGGTCTCCCAAGCTGTAGTCAGGTTGGGGATATCACAGACCTTGTCAATATCCGAGTGAAGCACATCATTAGTTAATGCCTGTGTGCTGAAGTGTCTAATAGAGTGCTTCTCAACCAATTTAGGGGGGGCTTTGGGTCTGGCTGATGATCTCACCCAAAAAATGAAGGAGTGATCACTAATGTTATTACCCAGAACACCAGTCAGTGTGAAATTGTGAGGGGCATTTGTCAATAGGACGTCAAGCAGAGATGACTGTCCCGGATTTTTTAGTTTGGGTCTTGTGGGGACATTTATTAATTGAAACAGATTAAATTTATCTGCAAAATTTGTGGCCACGGCCGGCGGGTTTAGCCAATTCCAATTTAGATCACCCACTAAAACTATTTCACCTTTAGGGAGGCCCCCAAAAAGCTCTCTCAGTGCAGATGCAGCTTCAACATCCTTACCACTAGGCGGTCGATAGCAGCACACTACCAATATCTGTTGATTATTTGGGAGAGTTATTTTGAGAGCCAGACCTTCAAAGCAACATTTTTTTAAACAAGGAGTGAGCTAGTGAACATGCAATAGTATTACGAACATAGATGGCAATTCCACCTCCTTTAGATCCTCGGTCAAGCCGAAAAAGGTTGTAGTTGTCAATCGCAATCTGCAAGTCATTGATGCAGGAGTGAGAAATGTTTCTGTTAGGCAAAAAATGTCCGGGTCAAGATTTGCCACTTCTAGTTTTAGTTGACTTAATTTAATCACAAGCCCTCTGATGTTGACATGTAGAACACCAACACCTTTCCTGCCAGAAAAGCTACAGAATCATACGAGTTATTTTCATTTGGGCCAGGATGAAGCTCAATACCACCCAGAAATAAGAAAAGTAGAATTAATAGTTTGCACAAGTATTTTCTGTGAAAGGATGAAGAGCGGCGAACCTTGGACGAATAGCAGTAGCTCGCAGATGGTGTTATTTTTAAGAGCAGAATGAAGTTTGGAAGGAGTGCTGGTGAAGTAATGGGACAAAGATAGGGTTTAAAAGGATACAATGATGGAGTGTAGAAGTGTCTATGAGCTGTTTCATTAGCAGGTGTAGTGGCAAATCGAGCAACAAGTATGGACGCAAAGTAACGAGGGTAGCTGTTTGTAGAGTTCAGTGTGGCACTAGATATGGCTGGGAGGGACAGCAGTAGGATACACAGCAGGAGAATTGCGATCTCTAAAATATCCGGGGTATACACAGATTAACACACAAGCGGAAAATAAAAAAATATATATACTTGTAGGCCGAGCGCGAGAAAACGTCTTGCCACACTCGTCACACATGCACGGCTTCTTGCCCATGTGCTAGGGTTGAACAGCGCCCCCCCCCCCCCCCCCAGACAGGGACAGCAGACTGGCTAGGCCACTCCAGGACTTTAATGTGCTTCTTCTTGAGCCACTCCTTTGTTGCCTTGGCCGTGTGTTTTGGGTCATTGTCATGCTGGAATACCCATCCACGACCCATTTTCAATGCCCTGGCTGAGGGAAGGAGGTTCTCACCCAAGATTTGACGGTACATGGCCCCGTCCATCGTCCCTTTGATGCGGTGAAGTTGTCATGTCCCCTTAGCAGAAAAACACCCCCAAAGTATAATGTTTCCACCTCCATGTTTGACGGTGGGGATGGTGTACTTGGGGTCATAGGCAGCATTCCTCCTCCTCCAAACACGGCGAGTTGAGTTGATGCCAAAGAGCTCCATTTTGGTCTCATCTGACCACAACACTTTCACCCAGTTGTCCTCTGAATCATTCAGATGTTAATTGGCAAGCGTCACACGGGCATGTATATGTGCTTTCTTGAGCAGGGGGACCTTGCGGGCGCTGCAGGATTTCAGTCCTTCACGGCGTAGTGTGTTACCAATTGTTTTCTTGGTGACAATGGTCCCAGCTGCCTTGAGATCATTGACAAGATCCTCCCGTGTAGTTCTGGGATGATTCCTCACCGTTCTCATGATCATTGCAACTCCATGAGGTGAGATCTTGCATGGAGCCCCAGGCCGAGGGAGATTGACAGCTCTTTTTTGTGTTTCTTCCATTTGCGAATAATCGCATCAACTGTTGTCACCTTCTCACCAAGCTGCTTGGAAATGGTCTTGTAGCCCATTCCAGCCTTGTGTAGGTCTACAATCGTGTCCCTGACATCCTTGGAGAGCTCTTTGGTCTTGGCCATGGTGGAGAGTTTGGACTCTGATTGATTTACTGTTTCTGTGGACAGATGTCTTTTATACAGGTAACAAGCTGAGATTAGGAGCACTCCCTTTAAGAGTGTGCTCCTAATCTCAGCTCGTTACCTGTATAAAAGACACCTGGGAGCCAGAAACCTTTCTGATTGAGAGGGGGTCGAATACTTATTTCCCTCATTAAAATGCAAATCAATTTATAACATTTTTGACATGCGTTTTTCTGGATTTTTGTTGTTGTTATTCTGTCTCTTACTGTTCAAATAAACCTACCATTAAAATTATAGACTGATCATTTCTTTGTCAGTGGGCAAACGTACAAAATCAGCAGGGGATCAAATACTTTTTTCCCTCGCTGTACACACCTTTAGCCGCTGCGCCACTCCAACCGTGCGTGGACAATCTGATTTGTGGTGATGGGGGAGCGGGGGCATCGTAACTATGGGGATGACCAAGGGCACGCCCGATGTTAACAGAGATGCGACTTCTCTCCATTACATGTTAACCTGTGGTACATTATAATAATGTCAATTATTTCACCAAGAAAGGGATGTTTGAACATTTCCATTCACGAGTGGTTTCATGGGGGAGGCAATCCGAGTAAGCAGGGTGGGGGGGGGGAATCATCATGCGTGCAAGGTGGGAAGTGCTCAACACGGCCATCGCGTGGCCACCTCGCAGCCCCCACACCCACAATGCCTGGAAAGCCCTGATGGTCACCCCATGCAAGCATGAACTGGGCTCAACTTTTCTTAGCTTTTTGAAATTTGGGTGTTTTTGTTGTTGTTGTTGTTGTTTTTAAATCACAATTGCTGAGCACAGGCCCATAGGTGTGTCGTGCCCAAGCGGCCAGCAGGAGACGGCACTGTGGAAGGCTTTGTGTGTTGTTTCAAGCATGGGTTTCTGACCTGCCCTGTTGTTCTGTTTTGGGGTTGGGTTTTTTTCGCTCGTCATTAACAGATTTGATTGTTTTTTTTTGGCATTAGCCAAGATAATGGGCCCCGTGGTGTGGATGTGGGGGACTCCACACGAAATGTTTTCAGAGACAGACTTTACAGCTGTGAGCATTGGTGACTAAACTGTGCTGATGAGTCCTGATAAGGATGAAGCCAGTCCACGATTGTCTATCACTGCATTGCTCCTGTCAGTGGGTCACATTTGATGGTGATCTAAGACGAGAAGACCACAATGCACTTGTTCAGGAAATACTGATGGTCTTTGCATATGCACAGAAGCAGTGTGCGTAATATGCATTTTTTTGTGTGTTGTTTGAAACTATTGAAGGTGTCATAGGTAAGTGTTCATACATTTCTTGAATTGAGTAAAGTTGTACGAACGTGGGAATAGAGACGATGGGAGTGAATTCCAAAGTTAAAGCATTGTGGGGAAATAACCATAAAGAGGAGTGTTGTGGCCATTAGTGTGGTTGTTGACCACAGAGTGGATGGGATGAAACAGCCAGTCTGTTGGACCGCGTCCTCAACACGATTGGGGAGATCAATGAGATTTGGTCATAATCTCGGACAGAAAGGCGGCTGTTTGGGGTGAGACTTCTCACAGAATAGTCTGCGCCGTTAAAACGTCGACCCCTGAACTCGCATATCCCTGCTCCCATTCGCAGCCATATCGCCAACTGCATTTATGAGGACCCTGTTTACTCATCCCCTATCATAACTCAACTCTGCAAGATTTTCCCACCCTCGTTCTAACGTTCAGTTTATGGAGTTGGGCAATAATTATATTAATAAAACATGTCCCGCGCTGCGTAAAAAATTACAGCTTCCCTTTTTACAGGGCTGTGCGAAACCACCAGCTGCTGGGACTTGGCTCGGGTGGGCACGGCCGGTGCTAGAGGGTCTCTGGAGTATGCCCTGGGTGGGTCCTGGGTCGGCCCTACACCACCCCTGTGGCACCATCCAAGTACAAAATCCTTAGCGGTGAATGACTGTTGTAGTGCCCCCCCCCCCCCCACACACAGCAGTTTTACTGCCCCCCCCCACCCCAATCTGAGAGGAGGCTGGAGCCGGGGCTGGCTGGGTGCACTGGGCTGTGATGATTCGTGCATTTTGAATCGATTTTCGGGCTCAATATTGTCTAGAATTTGTGAAATGTAAAGTGTTTTAAACCAAGTCGCTCATGCAAAACAGGCAATGTATCGTGTGTCACAATAAAGGACGCTACTAATGCTGCTATGTTACGTGTAATGTGCAGCCCATTTTTCAAAACATTTCTGTATGAAAGCCTCCCCACGCAATGTCAGTAATGGTGGTTGTTTGACCTTACTTTCCCATGCTGTTCAATGTGGGATGGTGAATGGACCAGTTCAAATGTCACTCGCCACTGATGTTAGCTGTGATTATGCATGGAACTCGCGCTAACATTGAATTTATGCTAATCCTACGTCTGGACTAATGGAGTAAACAGAACTACACGAATGAGACAGATTAAATGAGAATATGAGAATATCAATGAGATGGTATATCGGACAAAAAGTATCCATTAGTGATGTGACTTGCGACCCTGAATCGTCATAATTCATTGAATCCCTGAGAATAGGTTGGACCAATAGGGTCCGGGTTGGAGCAGTGTTGCCAACTTAGCAATATTTTCTCTTGATCTTGTGACAAATCTAGCGAATTTCTGGGTCGAGGACATTATGCAGATTTGAGAATGATCCCACGTGTGCACCGAGGATCCTTTATCAGTTGGCAATTGTTAGTTTGCGATGTTTAACACTCAACAAATTGTGTCGTGACATTCATGACGGCTCTGGAAGGTCTGTCGAGTGACATCTAACCACTTTGTGAGGTTCGTTTGGAGACTTTCACGCTTCGAGGAGTTGGCACCAGTGGGATAGCGTGTGTGTGCGCGCGCTAATGGACCTTGCAGATCGAAGTCGGGGAAGTAGTCGGGGCAGTGCTGCACGGCGACATCCCCTGCCATGGTGTCTCCCCAGCAGAGCCAGCCATCCCACGTGCGATTGCAGTGTTTCCCTGTGGGCAGACGCAAAGACACTCCACTGCTACCACATGGAATGACTCCCCCAACGCAATGCAATTGCCAGTTGGCATGGTGTTGCGTTATTGCGTGGCTTCCAAGAAAACCGGAGCTGCCGCGGGGGAAATGATTAGCTGCGCACTGGACTTGAAATCCAGATGTTGCCGGTTTGATTCCATCTTCCGGCGCAACAGTTGATACAATGTAGCAAGTTTCTCCAACCCAGCTGTATGAATGGGCTCGCCACAGTCAAGTCGATAGGCAGGTCGGGTGCGGTGGGAGTAAAGTGTTGCTATGCCCACCTCTTCCAACACGTCCGGTCAGCGTGGAAGCATAGAACAAATATGCTTGAGAGTTGGCTCCAGTGGAGGCCTTTCCGTCAGTAGTTAAAATAGCGAGTAATTGCATGGCTGCAACTTTTACTTTTTATTTTTCCATAGGAAACTGCATGCCCAGAGCATGGCCGATGGACGCACAGTCAAGGCACGCGTTGAGTGCTCCGTTTTTGTTTTTGGCTCGTGTTGTTTTTCATTCAATGTTCTCAATTAAGAGGACACTACCATAGCCTGCAGCAGAGGAGGTTTAGCGAGATTGTCATGAGCCCTGGTGACAAGGAATTAAATGGGGCCTCCCCGCCCGATATCAACCTCCGTTCTTTGCAGCCCAGAGCCTGGGCCCCCTAAAACCCGCGGTCACCGGCGCAGTTGGACCGCCTGCACACACGACAGCAACGCCGCTTGCCCACGGCCCGCATTCGGGTATGCCAACGCGTGTCACGTGGTTGGCCCAAGCCATTTTAGCCCATTTCGCTGTGGGTGGCCCTGTGCACACGGGAGAGTGGTCGCGCTTTATAGAGACACAGTAACAAAACAAAAAAACGAGTCGTCATTCGCTTAAGAATTCCATTGGCATCTGCGTAAAAAGCACGCACACCTGTTGCTGTGGTGCTCTGAAATGCGACAAATGCATCTTGGGCCACGAAAGGAAAATGATTGAGAATTTGCCACAATGAGCATGATATAACAATAGCCTCTGATTGCAATTATGATGTCTTACAAGCACAACTTGAATACAGTGCGGTATTTACCAAACATAATTTGATTCGTATTCTTATAATAATGAGCAGAGGGATCCCCATTGCTCTCCAAGGGAACACAGACAAATGTCATTAACATACTCTGCTCACAATCCTCCTGTACTCGGAGCATTCAAAGTAATCTGCCTTTTGAATGTAATAAAATGGCAAGATACTATATTGCGAGTGTTTTTTTTTATTCTATAGGATTTAAGAATATTCCAGTCAAATAATGTAATTAATAGGAGCACAAATTGAAAAAGGTTACAGAGATTGAACCGTGGTCAGTTTTCTGTACAGTAAAACCTTGGATTGCGAGTAACTTGGTCTGCGAGTGTTTTGCAAGACGAGCAAATTTTTAAAATAAATATTAATTTGATAAACGAGCGAGGTCTTGCAATACGAGTAGTACGTATACGCTTTGTCTGCCGAGCGTCACGTGATCACAACTGATATACGAGTACTTTGGATTACAAGCACGTTTCTGGAAAGAATTATGCTCGCAATCCAAGGTTTTCTGTATTTGTTACTCCCACCTCTTCGGTGTCACTATTATGTCTTCCCAACTTCTTCTTTTCACCATTTCAATTAAATGTTAATTTGTTACATGGAAAATCCCGTTTAGCCAGTTACCCGGCTAGTTTTAGCCCACAGCCACGAACAATAGAGGCACAGATTATGTTCAATAGTCGCGTGATTTTTTTTTGCTATTCATATTTATTGCAACGTAACAAGCGCTCCACGTCGCCTCTGTCTCGGTCAGTGTGCCTCCAGTATTTTTAGTGCAGACTGTAGACCCTGGAGCAACAAGAACCCTGGCCTGAGGGGCTCGAGCATTGCCTGTAAGGCCCCCCCAAAGGCGACTCAAACAACTCCCCTCGCATCCACGCTCCGAGAAATAAACCACAAGCGAGAGCGACGAGCTCCCGTGCCCAGAAAAACGATGGCCGTTGGCGGTGGTCTCTGGCTGTTCAGCAGGGTTTATTGTCGCCGATGTCCGATCCCCCTCCTTCACATCCTACTGATCTGATATCCTGACCGTGAAGAAAATTAAGTGGGCTTGGGTCCAGTGAGGAAGGGATGATTGACCGGTGGTCAAACTAACGTCAAAATGGCAGCCATTTGCGTGAAACGCGCCCGAGAGAATGTCCACTGCAGAGACAGCGGCTGAATCGGCTCGCGTAGGGTGCTAAGTAGATTGCTACATTGCGGGACTGTAAGAGACGACCGTTTCAGGAGGCCCTTATCCAGCAGCGGAACGATCATGGCTGACGATTGTATTGCTGTCGCCACGAGGTGTGGCTTCACCAACATTGCGATGTGCGTCATCCTGGGTGCCACGCCCACCGAGCCGCTAGCCCCATCTACACAGCGAGTGACCTCGTCCTGACATTGACCCCATCCACTGCTCAGGTAGCCCCGCCAACTAATTGGGTAGCCCCTACCCTTTTCCCGCATTACGAGTCAAGCACCAGGCCAGATCGGTTTTTTTTTTCCACAGCAGACAAAATCTCTCTTTTTTCTCTGCCGCAAATACTTCGCTGGAAACGAGGACTGTCCCGGTCAAACCAGGGCGTTTGGTGGCTTTAAATCCACAGCGGTGCCGCCGTTCTTGATTGCGTATGAAGGCTCCGTAGTACCAGACGGGCCCGGGTAATAATGGGGCTAAAGAGTAGTGCCAAAGTGCCTTTGGCCATATAAGCTATGGCCTGGGCACCACGGCGTTCTGCCGCAGGCCAGCTCGCATCGCTCCTGAGCGCTGATTTACGCTGCATAAAGACGGCGCTGTTTGTTTAAAAGGTTGTGTATGCGTCATAGCTGGTGGTTAATCTGGCAGTGAAACCGATTTTCGGTGACAGAGTGTAGTGACAAGTCAGGTTGGAACTTTATCCTTGTTGAAGGTACGTGACACCGCTTACAAACTAAATGTCCCTCGTGTGCTGTGTTTGGACTTGCGTTGCCGTGCCTCTCCCCATCTCCAACTGCCACTATCACGGGTTTCCTTTCTTCCTATAAGGTACGAAACAAACCAGAACCGATCATAGACAGATGAATATGTCCGAAGGGGGGAGAACTTCATGTCTTGAGTGGTGCATTATTGCAGAGAAGGGATTATTGGTGTTAAGCACTACCACTACATTATTGTGGCCTTAATTATCATAACTCAGTTAAAAAGCTTTTAATGACAAATACGGTGAGATGAATGTGCGTGCTAAAATAATTCCTGGAATAACGTTCTGTAATGTTCAAGTTGATTTACCCAACTCACAATCATTGAGACTTTGAATGCCCCGGGGTCACTTGCAGATTTCCCAGCACAGCATCAATATCAACAAAACAACAATCCTTGCAAAATCAGGACAGGTGGAAGGTGTTTACTAGGGCCAGCTGTGTTACCCGGTAGCTAGCTATGTTTGATGGGGATAGCTGTGTTTCTAGATGTAGCTATGCAAACTCGCGGGTCGCTGTAGCCGTCTTTGCTGGGTTGGCTGTGTGTCTGTGGTGTGGCTGTGTTACTTGGGTAGCCGTGGTGTGTTTGTGGTGTGGCTGGTTCAAGTTTCATTTTGATTAACCAGGTGAGAACTCAAGTAATCAAGATAGTACCATTTTCAAGAGGGACCTGGAGCCTTACTTTGCTGGTCGGGGGCGATGATTGCTAAGTGTAATCCAAATTGAGTAATTTGCAGTGTAATTTTCGAATGTGCCATATTTGGACCCAGACACCTGGACTCTCTCTGAATGACGTGAGGGGATCTTTCAACGTCCACAGTGAAGCAGACGGCGCGTTAGAATGATTATGGTTATTATCCCTGCAGGAATAATCAGGGCAGCCACTGGATTCTTGCCGTTACGATTTGCAACAATCGGTTAATGCACTACCGCTGGGCCGCATCACCGCCCATAAGAGTCGGCTGGCCATCGAACAAAGACGGTCACTACATCACGAACTTTCGGATGTGCCTCTGCGGCCGTCTGGAATGCTCTTCCTTCCGATATTCGGAAGCCACTTTTAAATGTAGATATTTTTCTAAAACTGCATTTTCTTTTGACTTTGTTATCCTTCCCCGCACCTCCGATTAGCGCGGTTGGCAATGTACGTTGCAAAAGAAGTTCAATATACGTGCATACATACGGGTGGCACGTGTGAGTGGGGGACTGACCCGTGCCACTGTAGGGCGGCTCCAGCAGCATCCTCTTGTTGCACTCGTACTGCATCTTGGAAATCCGCTGCGTGTTGAGGTGCTTGGCAGGGGGCCGTGGCGTCGGTGAGGGCGGCGTCTTTATGACCTCTCCAGCCGTGCCGCTCGCCAAAATCTCCATCGACTGTCGTTGTTACGGAATTACACAGCTCAGCTAGGCATCACGAACGCGGTTATTCCTCACAGAAAGAGAAAGACGAAGCGGCAGAGCTCGACCCAGCATATTTAATTTTAGTCGTTGGCGTGGGGATGGCTGACCTGCAAATGTCACCGTTGCCTCTGGGCCTTGTAGGGCTTCTCCTAGTGGTGGTAATAGCCCATTGGGGGCCAGAAATAATTTGTAGACCCTCCCCCCACCCTCCTTATCAATGTATAAAAACCTCGTGAAATTAAAAGACATATAGATGTGGTGAGATAAGAGAAATGTATACAAAAATATAGGTGGGGTGAGATGAGAAAATATTGACTTTTCTAAGTTAATTCGCATGTTATTTACGAGGAGCTGAATTTCAGATGGTATTTGATGCACCCCATTATTTCATGAATCTGGAGTCTCATGGACTAATTGGGCCCATACACTTTGGCTTGGTTCTCTTATGCCTAGCTCCACCACAGACGTCTCTATAACTGTGCACCCACTGAAACCTCTCATTACTAATTGCCAATTATCCGAGCTGCTCGCCCAATAAATTGTTGGATGAAGTCACTACCACGGCTAGACTCTGAGTACTGGAGGTCCTGTAGATCATGGTCTGGAATTTGGTGGGGTCCATCTAGGGGCCAGCTCAACATTTAACTCTGACCTCTGATGCTGAGATACTGGCCCTGGATCTGGGATCCTGACCGTGACTGTAGCTGAATCCAGATTCTGACTGGGTTTCGCTCCACTCTCGTTGTAACGATTTCACGATTTAAATGTTGTTGCAGCATCTAAATACAAAGTTTCTCAAGATGCTGGACAGAACATTTCGCACAAACAGGAAATACAAATAAACAGAAACGGTTAAAGCGTGTAACAGCATAACGGTTACGAAGCCAACATTTTTACCGAATGCAGCGTCTCCACTCATAAGCCCCCATCGCAAGCTACGGTTACGACCTCCGAGGTACAAACACCAGGACATATCATGGGAAGAAGAGTACAGTATAGTATCACGCGTTGTCTTGAGTGGTGTAGTTTTGCCTAAGTGACATAAACTGGGTGAAATGTCCCGGAAAAGCTGACATATTTCCCAATGCAGCTCCCGCAAAAAAAAAAATTAGGACAACCCTTGGTAAAAACCAGAACAGGTGGCAACCCCGTAGCAGCAAGCACTCAGGAGCCATGTGGCGCTCCGCAGGTCACCTCCACGCTGCCTCGACGCGACCCCAGGCCACCCGGTATGTGGTACAGGAAGTCAAACTGCTGCTCTCGTTGCCCTCACGTGTTCCACCAACACGCAACTCAACGATTGTCCGCGTGTTTGTGGGGGGGGGGGGGGAGCGGTCATGCAACGGTAAGGGGCCGTCGTTAAATGACGTCACGCGATTTTGGACGATTTTTGACCCCCCCCCCTTGTCACACGGCGTCACAAAAAGTCAGACCCCCCCCCCTCAAATATGACGTCACAAAGCTCTGCTCCACCCCCCCCCCAAAAGCATATTTCCATTTTGAAACATAAAACATGCTTCAAATCGCTTTAAACTATTGTCATTGTAGTGCGTATTTAATGTGGCGCTACACTCTCATGTTGTAGGAGAAAACATTTATTAAAGAGTTAATATGATTAAGTAAAACGTGTTGCCTATATTTATCTAAAGTTGCGCATTTTAATGTGACGTCGCATTTCTCAAACTCCCCCCCCCCCTCCATCGTCACACATCCTCACAAATGTCTGACCCCCCACCCCCCTAGGTGCGTGACGTCATTTATGGACGGCCCCTTAGCGCGCTGCGCTACGGACCCGGCGACCCGAGTTCGATTCCTGCTCACGACCAATAACAGTGGCGAATATTTGAATCGGTCCGGGGGCCTCCCCTAGGTCGACTCAGCCTCAACTGAGTACCTGGTGCGGTGTTTAAACATCGCCACTAGGGAGACCCCCCCCCCCCCCCCTCGTGTGCCGTGCCGGCCTTCGTGTGTGCTCGTTAACAACACTTGCCCCAACAGTCTGTTAAGGACCAGTTTAACACGTAGGCTTTCGCGACCAATATTATTCATAATAAAGGTTCTTGGGTTAGATCGCGTTTATTTATAAATGTGTCGTAACCCTCCACCACCCGACACGGCCAATCAGCAAAAAAAGTGTCACGTTGACAAAGACAAATAATTCACTACTTCAGCCCACCGGTGTGTTGAAGAGTTAATCCACATTTACAGTTTGAGTACGACGTTTCGCTGGTAAATACTTCCAGCATCATCGGGCAATTCGAATTGCCCGATGATGCTGGAATTGCCCGATGATGCTGGAAGTATTTACCAGCGAAACGTCGTACTCAAACTGTAAATGTGGATTAACTCTTCAACACACCGGTGGGCTGAAGTAGTGAATTATTTGTCTTTGTCAACGTGACACTTTTTTTGCTGATTGGCCGTGTCGGGTGGTGGAGGGTTACGACACATTTATAAATAAACGCGATCTAACCCAAGAACCTTTATTATGAGTCTGTTAAGGCTATACTGGGGCCTTTGTCTTTTCGTCTTCCTGAGAGCCTAAGAGCCCAGCATGTGTACGAACCCATTCATCCTAAAACATGATTCACCGTGGCATCTTGTTTTCATAATGCACGTCGAATCGCCCGGCAACGGGTTCAGTCTGCTGAATCGTGTGATCACTGATCAGAGAAAGAAGGCACTGTGTGGCTGGGTGATGCATGCTGGTGGTGTGTGGCCGTGACATTGTACATCGACGTTAGTCGAGAACCAAAACCCACGCCAGTAACAACTCCACTTCTTCAATATCCCTGTGACGAACAGTCATTGCCCAGAAACGCTTCCGATTGCACGTACATCTAAACAGTATTTCCTGAATGGGAACTGTTCTTGACGGATTTTGAGCTTTTTTGCAATTAGCGCGTATGCACCATCACGGGGAGAAATACATCTTTATTTAGAGCCCCAACGAGAGCCAGGCAGGAGTCTCTTTTGAAAGGCAGATATGCCAACTTCGGCAACACAGTATCAGCCTGACACTATTGATTCTGTCCAGTGGCGTTGATGCGGTTACGCGTTCTCTGGTGTGAAACTGGTGAGACTAGGCCCTGAAGAAGGCTGACTCTGGTGTAGGCCAATCAGTTTCAAGGGCGATGCATTTATAATTATCAGAACGTGTTTGTTTGCATGTTCACCACAAGTGCGTGTGGTTAACGCAGTAAACTTGATTCCATACAATAGGCATTTATTTGGTGTTTGAACACACTAACACCTGCTGTTTTATTGCCAGAAAAGCTAAAATCTATTCTTTTTCATACGTTGAATACTGGCAAAAAAGGTCAAATTTTGCATTCATATGTTGTACACATTCAAATCGCATCGTGATACTCAGAAGTAGAGCTTACAATTTAAAGTAAGACACGACGTTGGATTGAGGTATGGGTTCAAAGCCCTCCCAAATTACGTTGTCCAAATAAATACGCAAATCGCTTTTCATTTCATAATCGACTTCGGAAGGATTGCATCTCAAAGGCGCCACGCAGGCCTCTCTCTCACGTGCGTACAAGGGACATCGGTGAGTCCACGTGGCATGTACCCCGAGAACGTCGCGAAGGAATGATGACACTCGTCTTCATTTGAGAGCGTTCAAATTAGTAAACGCGCGCATCGATGCAGAAGCACGCCGTCCACTAATTTGTTCCATGGGTGTTTTGGGAACGTGTGATTTGGGTCCAGGCGTTTGGGAATATGTAATTGGGAACGTGATTGGGAACAAGTGAATGGGAACAGGCATGCAACCCCTGAAAGTGAATGAATTAATACATACATCAATGTACATGTTCTGTAGCTTTGTTTGCAATAACCGTCAAAGGGAATGTACTGGGTGTATTATGTACATCTCTATCCCATCTAAAACGATACGATTCGAGGTAGGAATGTAATGAACGATCTTTCCTGTGGCAATCTTTTGAATTGTCACGTGTCATGGTCACGATTTAAGAATACATTTTTCTATTGTAGTGAACGCCAGTGCCTATAGTGTGTCTGAAGGGGGTTACGTGAGCCCCACCAACTCAAAACATAGGCGCCCTGAAGGGCATGAGATGTTTGCACGCGCAATTCAATGCGTGTGTCGGCACCTCACTCGTATTAATTCACGGATCGATTAAAGTGATGCAGTCACTGCCAAAGTGATATTTTCAAGGGGAGGTATTGGACAAACAATGTGAAAGAATCCCCAGCATGTTGACTACAATCATAGTACGCATGTCGTGAGCCACGATCAATCCACTGACGGACGATGGCTATCCCAAAAAACCGTTATTATCGTGCATATCATCTGTCGTGTTTACTCCACGAGTGGAGTTGGCCAAACATCCCAATGCAGGATCCTCCTGAATACGTCTCAATGTTGATGCTCCTTTTGCAGACCTTTGTCAACCCACTGCTGGACTGAGGTCTACTGCCCCACGCTGTGCCGTGGTGGCAGCTGCGGAAATAGTCGCCCATTGATGCTTTAGTTATTTAGTAAAAAAATTTTTTGACTTAAAGCTTTCGTGACTGCAGGAATTAATATTCTTTGGGTCTTTCGGTAAAGTCACGTAGATAGGTTCAAATTAATGAAAATAAAATAAACAAAAAACTCACGACGTTTCGATCGCAGCACAAGCGGTCGTCATCAGGCGGAGAGAAAAGGGAGGGGGGGGGTAAGGCTCGAACGCCATTGTTTATAAAGGTTTAAAAGTGGGCGTAGCCCAAGTGTCAGAACGGAGTGGGCGGGGCACAAGAGTCTAGGTCAGCAGTGGATAGAGCAAGCTATAGAGATGGTGTACTAGAGGTAGTCTAGGCCAGCAGTTGATAGAGCAAGCTATAGCCAGTAGTCTAGGCCAGCAGTGGATAGAGCGGGGCTCCTCACATCAGCTCTCTCCCCGGCGGTTGCAGGCGGAATGAGTGGAGCAGGTTGCGTGAGGGGCTAAACACTTGGTGAGCATCGGAGAGTGTTAAAAATGGAAACATTACAGCAGTTACGACTTAAACTGGTTGATAATGTCCTTCCAGTGATTGCCGTGTTTGTAGCTGTCATCTCGGTTGAAATTGTGTCTATATTTGTAAAAATGGATGGCTTCATGAACGAATCTTTGTTGATACCCAGTGGGCTTGCAAAGTACCTTCGTCTGAGAGAAATCAATTTCGTGTGAGCCCACCGCATTAAAACAATGATCAGCCACGGCCGAAGTGTTCGTCCTGCCGTGTTTCATATCTGCCTTATGTTCACTAACACGGTCCGATACATGTCGCTTAGTTTCCCCGATGTAACTACTGCCACAGATACAGCTTAGTTTGTAGACGCCAGGGTATTGCAGATAGAATCAGATCACGAATTTTATGTACTGGATGTTATGTTTGCTCAAGATTTTGGAAATATTTTTGGTGACCCTTGCTATGTATGGCAAGGTGATGGTTTTGATCCTCAGATGGTTCTTTCCCAATGGTCGGGGTGATAGCTTTACGGATTGTGTGGTCCGAATATCCATTCATCTTGAGAGCTTGGTGCACGTTTTTCAGTTCACTGGCTAGGTGATGATGGTCGGGGATGGATGGTGGTGGGAATCAGATTTTAGGTAGGCATCCGTATGAGTTGCTTTCCTGTAGACAGTGTTTATTTAGCCATCTGGTCTCTGTTCGATTAGAACATCCAAAAATGATAGCTTGCCATCCTTTTCCACCTCCCTGGTGAATTTGATGGCTGGTTGTATGGAATTGATGTGGTTGAGGAATTGGTTCAGAGCTGGTTGGCCATGTAGCCAAATGACGAACGTGTCATCTACGTGCCTCTTCCACAAGGACAGACGTTGAGTGGATGCCTGGATGGCATCTGCCTCAAAATTTTCCATGAAAACATTGGCTCCAACCGGAGATAAGGGAGAGCATATTGTGGTGCCTTCAACTTGTTTGTAAAATGTTCCATTCCAGGTGAAGTATGTATTGGTGAGGTAGTGTTTAACAAGGGCCGGTACATCAGCATTCAATCCTTGTTGGACTAAATCTTCAATGATTACAATGGTGTCGGGCACAGGAACTTTGGTGAACAAATAAACTACAGTACATCGAAACTAACGAGCAAACCACCTGGAGGTAGTGAGATGTCCTTAATTAACGATACCAAGTGAGCTGAGTTAAGTACAGATGAGGTTGTCTTACCAGCGAATGGTTGCAAGGTCTCAGACAGAAACTGGGCCAGTTTGTAGTGGGTGAGTCAATGGAGGATTTTGGTAAGCCATACAATTAATGAAGCCGAGTCAGTGATGATGCTGTGGGTTTTTGTCACGAGGCTGTTGGTGGGATCTGTTTGATTTTTTTGTGTAGCTCCCATCATTAAGTAGGTCCTGAATTTTGTTATTGTACTGTATGTGGTTTTGTCCATGATGACTGTGGCATTGCCCTTGTCGGCTGAGAGGGTGACGATGTCATCCCTCTTTTTTAATTGAGATAGTTCAAAACGTTTATCCTTACTGATGTTGCTGGTTTGGTGTCTTACCTCTTGTACATCATGCCTATTGCATGCGCTATCCACTGCTGACCTAGACTACCACGAGTACACCACGCCTTTAGCTTGCTCTATCAACTGCTGGCCTAGACTACCTCTAGTACACCATGCCTACTGCATGTGCTATCCGCTGCTGGCCAAGGCTCCATCTCTATAGCTTTTGCTCTATCATGGCCTAGACTCCATCTCTATAGGATGCTCTATCCACTGCTGACCTAGACTCTTGTGCCCCGCCCACTCCGTTCTGACACATGGGCGATACCCACTTTTAAACCTTTATAAACAGTTGCGTTCGAGGCTTACCACCCCCCCCCCCCTTTTCTCTCCACCTTATGACAACCGCTTGTGTTGCGATCGAAACGTCGTCAGTTTTTTGTTCATTTAATTTGTATTAATTTAAACCTATCTACGTGACTTTACCGAAAGACCCAATGAATGAGTAATTATCATGACATACCAATATATAATCACATTATTATTCATTTCGACCACTTAAATATTGCGGCTGAAACAATAGTATTTTCAGCTTGATTGTGATGTATGTTGAACTTATTTTGCACATAGCCAAATGCGCTAATCGAAGGTGCGGGGTAAGGACCACAAACTAAATACAAAAAGCAGTTGCAAAGAAATTAGTTTTCAATCTAGATTATTTAAAAGTGCATAGCTCCAGTAGCTTCCTAATATCGGAAGGAAGAGCGTTCCAGAAGGCCGCAGAAGCGCGTCTGAAAGAACGATGTAGTGGCCGTCTTTGTACGATGGCTAGCCAAAAGATTCGTCACAAGACTGCGTATGACCTGTACTGTACTTTAGTACTTCTATTCGTGCCGCGATGTCTACTTTTAAAATAAATACATAAAATGTATTAAGAGAGGCTTCTCTTGAAACAAGTGTGGTGCTATTACTTAATCGTGCAGCAATGATGACTAAATGAAATAACACATTTCCCACCATCGTTTCTACAATTTGTCGTGTTAACAAGCTCATTGGATTTTGATTTAAAGCTTTCGTGACTGCAGTAATTAATATTCTTAGCTCTTTCGGTAAAGTCACGTTGAAGGGAAACAATAAAATAACATATATTTTATTATTTTATTGTTTCCCTTCAACGTGACTTATTATTTTATTGTTTCCCTTCAACGTGACTTTACCGAAAGAGCTAAGATTAAGCTCATTGGAATGAAGCTGCTTGTAATCACCAGCGAAACGTCGAACTCAAATTGTAACTGTTGTGGGCTCACTCTCCAACACACCGGTGTGCTGTACTAGTAACGAATTGGCATGTTCAGTTTAGGTGACAAACCTTACTAATTGGCTGTGTCGGGTGGTCGTGGGTGAACGACACATTTATATTTACGCGATCTATCCCATAAAAAAACCTCTTATTATGAAGCTCGACATACCGAGTGATAATTGTCCGGTGCTCAGAACGCGGGGATCATTAAAGAGAGGCATTACAAATCGGCACCCTCTGTCAATCAAGCGAAGCGTGTCTCACCCATGCGGGTGCCGTGGTGTTAACGGTCATCACACCGGACGATCCGCCGGTTCCAGGCGCTGTCTCAGCACAGCAGCTGAAACAACGGGGCGAGTTTCCTGCCACTCCCCCGCCGCCGCCGCCGCCGCCTCCGTCAATACAGCGGTATGAATATGTTACACCCACAGTTAGATATTCGTCAGGTCTCGCGTGGTGAGGTACGCGTGGGAACTGCCGCTTCTTCTAAGACGTCTGGTCAGCGTGGAAGAGTAGGCCAAACATGCCTTCTCGAGCAGGGGCCGGAAACCAGAATAACAATAATTTTTATTTTTTCGAATTCGGTAACAAACAAAAAAAAACTCAACATTCCAAGGGCCGCAATGCATATGAATGCGAAGTGGTGGTCCTTAATAAACAACATTAGGAAGCACTTGCTTAAAGAGCCACACGCGGCGACGGAGCCGTAGGTTGCCGACCCCTGCTCTCGAGGTAGATCTCCAGAGCGAGCTGCCGTAGCTGCTGCTGCTGCTCCTATCCTTACGGCAGCAAATCGCGCCTAGCAGGCAATTGCAGGGCTGCGCCTTTGCCTCACAATCTCGCACGCACGGCGCTTGCCACCCTGTCGCTCTCCGCTGCGAGTGCCAGCGCAGAGTTGCCTTGTGGGCATGAGGCAAGGGCAGGTGCCAGACGTTTAGCATCTCAGTAAGCCCCTTTTCCTGCCTTGGGCACGGGGCGCCTCGCGAGATATTTCGAAGCCGCTGGGCGCTGTCGTTGCCCGCATGGCGCTGGCCCAGAGGTCCAACGCGGCGCTGGGAGCCCGGGGAGTTTGGTGAACGCGGCACCAACCTGGAAGTGGACGAGCAGGAGGAAGAATATCCACGGGGCGCTCGCCATAGCGTCGTGCCAGATGTTGCTTCAATTAAAAAGCTCCGGCTTTACGAGACGGAAGTCTGCGGGAAAGAAACGAATAGTGATGATGATGATGATGATAATAATGCGTCAAAATGCCTGAGATCAGAGCGGCTGCCTCCGTGATTTAAGAGATGAGAGCAACGATGAAGCCTCAGAAGTTCGCAGACGTGAGCCTCGTGCGGAAATAGTTTTTTTTTTTACGATCAAATAATGTGGGTTCGTTTGGTGAGTGCATTGAAACCTTTCGAATTAAGGAAGCGAAAAACTACCAACGACGCTGATGCAAGTTCCTTCCGGTCACAGCAGACGTTTAAACACGAGTGCTTCGCTGAAATAAACGAAAGAGACCCGACACATTCTGCCCGCTGGCCAGAACTCGTGAGGGCACACACATGCGCCGGTGTCCGCGATGTTAATTGGGGGGGGGGGGGGGAAACAAGCCTTGTTATGCAATCTTGTGGCGTCTGTTTTTAACCCGACGTTAATGGACGCAGCGGGCTCCGTGCCTGGCACGCTCGGGGCTCTGAGTGCTCGCCGTGGCGTCTGGGTGAACGACGCCGTTGTTTCTGCCACGTGGGAATTTCTGAGGCCGCGGGCAATCCCCTGCCACCGCCTTTTCACTTCTGCACCGAGCGAACGGATGCAGTGGGTGGGTGGCATGGTCTGGGAAGTGAGATTCTTGCCGCCTTGAAGATTTGGGGGGGGGGGGGGTGGGGAGCGTGTGAGAGAGTCGGGGGTGGTGATGGGGGTCATTGAAGGGATGGAGGTTCCAAGTGTTCCGTAAACTCTCTGCTGCTGTAGTCTTGGTTCTTTCGGTAAAGTCAGCACATAGAAGGGAAACAATAAAATAATAAAAATATAAAACAATACAATTCTCACGACGTTTCGACTGCAACACAAGCAATCATCATCGGGTGTGAAAACCACAGCACGAACATTTGAAAAAAGTGGCGTTTTTTTAACGTTAGCACCACGGAGAGCGATTTGACAGTTTGTTCAGATGGACGAGTCCATCTATGTTCGGTAAAGAGGAGAAGGGAGACGAAAAATAATGGATGCGGTCTGAAAGCCACCGTAAGCGTGAACAATCAATTAAGACCCAAAATGGTTCATCAAATCCTTCCAATGATTGCTAAGCCAGAATCCATCTTTATACTCTTGGTTTTATTCGGTCAAGTCACGTAGATAAGATAAAACAAAATAAAAAGAAAATCACGACGTTTCGGAGGCAACACAAGCTTCCGTCTACACAGATCTTTTGCTGTGACTATTCCACCTGAAGACGGAAGCTTGTGTTGCCTCCGAAACGTCATGATTTTCTTTTAATTATGTTTTATTTTGTTTTATTTTATCCACGTGACTTGACCGAATAAAACCAAGAGTATGAATCCTTGCAGTCACGAAAGCTTCAAAAGTAGAATAGAATCCATCTTCTCGGTTGAAATTGTCTCTGTGTTTGTATATGTGGATAGCCTCATGAAGGAATCTCTCATGGTAGCCAGATGGCTTGCAAAGAACCTCTGTCTTGGAGAAGTCAATGTCACGTGAGCCTACTGAATTATAACAGTGATCTGCCACGGCCGAGGTGTTGGTCCTACCGTGTTTTAGGTCTGCTTTGTGTTAACGAATGCGGTCCGAGACATGTCGTTTGGTTTCTCCAATGTAACTACTACCACAGAGGCAACTTAGTTTGTAGACGCCAGGGAACTGTATGTCCGGAATCACATCTTTTACAGACGGAACCAGATCACGGATTTTATGTAATGTGTCCTTCTTCATGGTTGGAGTGATAGCTTTGCGGATTGTGTAGTCGGAGTAACCATTAGCCTTAAGAGCTTGGTGTACGTGCTTGAGTTCACTGGCTATGTGTTCCTGGTCGGATACGCATTTGGCTCTGTTGTGCAGAGTCTTGATGAGAGAATTCTTCTTGGATGGATGGTGGTGGGAATCCGGTTTCAGGTAAGCATCCGTATGGGTAGCTTTCCTGTAGACAGAGTGGCTCGTTGAACCAATCAGGTCTCTTTTTTATTAGGACATCCAAAAAAGGTAGCTTGCCATCTTTTTTCGACTTCCATGGCAAACCTGATGGCTGGGTGTGTGGAATTGATGTGGTCGAGGAATTGGTCTCGAGCAGGCCGGCCATGTTCTGTTTATCGACGACAGCCACGCAAGGACCCAGCAAAACAAAGGACACGCGAAACAGACCGCTCCAAAAAGTAAATAATAAATACTCGCCTATGGATTTGAAACCGAATTACAGGAGCCGATAATTTTAATTGGATAACTGCATTGTATGTGTGGGGGTGAGTGGGTGGGAGGGGGGTGCAGCATATTGGAAGGTCCCAGAGGTTCGGTGGGGGTGGGTGGGGGGGCTTGCATCTTTTAAGATCCGTGCCGATTTGCTCTAATCTGGTATAATTAAACTTCCTCGTTTTTTTCGCTTTTTGCCTTAAATCACAGCAGCTTGGGAGATGAAGGGGGAGGGGGGGTGCTCATAGGAGTCGGGGGGGCGAAACCCTAACGGGGCCGCAGACTGTTGCTGTGGCTCTGCTTGTCGATGCCAGGATCCCGCCTCCGAGAATAATCTGTATAATTACGGCTGTTCTTTACGCCATAGCTGCTAGATTAGATCTAAAACTTGATAAATAATACCCACAAGGAGGCCCACATTCTGAGGATCATTATTTTGAGTGCTTGTTACGAAGCGGCCGTGGTCCGTGTTCCACGGAGAGAGCGGGCCAACAACAACAACAACAACGGATGAACTTTGGACTCCTTTTCGGAGGCATCGCTTTGTCGTTTCAACTGCACGCGCCGGAGTAGAGATATTAGAACAGCCCGCTTTAACTGCATTAATAGACGTACGCAATTGTAATGCTGATGAGAAAATAGCAGGAAGTATGTAAATAGATAATGAGGGGGTGGCGGGGGAGGGGGCGCGGTCGTTAAGTGAAATACAAACATCATCAAACAACCCTCGTCAAACAGGAATTTTCTATTAAACTAAACTCGTATATCAAGCAGCAGGTAAGAGCTGATTTTTCGAGCTATTCTGGCTGTCATTCTGCCCCTGTTCTATATCATGGCTGTTTCGTGCGAACTAACAATGTTTAAATTGACGTTCGTCCAATTCCTTACGTCACTCACGTCGCCGCTTCTTGATGTCCACGTGGGTGTCCCGCAGGGTTCTACCCCTCTTCTCCCACTTGTCAAGATGTGTGTTTTATTTTCGCCATCACTTCTGCGCTGGTGCCATTCCCATTGACTCCATGAACCCAAAATCACTCTCAGACCCCACGTCCTGCATGTCTTACCACGGTTTCGTCTCGCCTTTGTGTCGATTTTTTTTCCTCTCGCTAATTTTTTGTCATCAAAACCGAAGCCCCTCATAGGCCAAATGTTCACTCTAAGTAGACTCTAGTTTGAGAGTACACCTCCCAAACTTTGACAACTGGCAAAAGAGCAAGCGAAACATTGTATTTGTCAGTGGCGCCAAGCTCTTGCTCTCTTCCCACATGTCAACTCTGCAGGGCCTCATATCTCCAACTGCGCAACATACCCCGGGTCTGCCATTTCCTGACCCAGATGTGCTACTGAGACCATCGCCCACGCCTTCAATGTATTTTCACACGACTATTGCAACATTTTCCTCCACGAACTACTCCGTATTCTTCATTTCGAAACTACAGATGGTCCTACACGGCCTTGCCTCTTCCTACCTCTGCACGCACTCTACGACCTCTCATTTTACTCTGCTCCCCTACAAACACTCTCCACTCCGGCAACTAAAGTTTGTTTTTGTGGAAGCCCCGAGTCAACCGTTGACCAGTGAACAAGGTCGCTCATTCTCCTTTGCTTTCCCAAGAGTGTGGAACTCGCTCCTCCCAGTCATACAGATTGTCGCATCCCTGCCCCTATCCAGGTCCTGGTTGAATACCTCAAATGAACCCTGGCCTGTCTGCCTCTATAAAAGAATGTGCACTGTCTATCGAGATGTGTATTTATATTCTTTTGTTCTTTCGGTAAAGTCACGTAGGTGAAAACAATAAAATGAATTAAATCACGACGTTTCGATTGCAACACAAGCAATCGTCATCAGGTGTGACAACCACAGCAACACATTTTTTACTGAACTTCAGTACTTCAGTAAAAACTTCAGTAAAAAAAATGTCTTGCTGTGGTTGTCACACCTGATGATGATTGCTTGTGTTGCAATCGAAACTTCGTGATTTTTTTCACCTACGTGACTTTACCGAAAGAACCAAAGAATATGGATCCTTGCAGTCACGAAAACTTTAAATCTAGAATGAATTTTGAGATGTGGGTGCATTAATATGCTATTTGCGTTCACATTGTATTGTGTGTTGGTGGATTGCTACAGTAATTGTAGAAGAATCATCGCTATCATCACCTCAATTTTCCATCCATCGTCATGTATCATTTCCATCATAATGATATGTAATCATAAACATCACGTTCATTCATCACGATCGTCATTAGGACCACTGCCATCGTTGATAATAGTCGCGATCATCATCTCTATCTTCATTTTATTTTTCAGCTTCAAATTTGTCTTCATCATCATCGACATGAACATCGAGTAATGCTAAGCCATATTTTACTAAGTCATACATTTGCTAAGCCACAAACTCCAGCTCGCTCTAAAATTCCACAAACGCATCGAAATATATTCCTGCATTAATCGACTGTAAATGCATCTTTTTTTTCAAAAGAGAACCGATCAAATAAGGAGATCGTAAGAGCAAACAGTTTTCAGTGCAACAATTAAAACTCCCATCTAAACACCATAAACGACAAACTTCACAAGAGCAAAAAACGTATCCTCGAGTGCAACAAATGAACACACAGTTACGCAGCATGACATCACGTGCCACAATGCAAGAGGTTATATAATGTACAATGCAACACAAATTGCTTTTCTTTGAATTCAAGTTAAATCAATCCACGACAATCGCCCTCGAAAGTAATATCCGATGTAAAATCTGTTCACCGTGGAGAATACGGATCGCGATATGCC